GCCTGGTGGGAGGCACCTGAAATCTCAGCTACTTGGAAGGCTGAGGCAGAATTCTTTGAACCCAGGAGGTGGAGGTTGCAGATCTTGCTTGCAGACCCAAGATCACACCACTGTACTCCAGCCTGATGAGAGAGCAAGACACCCTCTCAAAAAAAGAAGAAAAACAAAAACAAAAACAAACGTGGAGGCAGGAAGATTACTTGAGCTCAGGAGTTCAAAGCTGTAGTGAACTATGATTGTGCCACTGCATGCCAGCCTGGGCAACAGAGCAAGATTCTGTCTCAAAAAAAGAAAAAACAGAAAACAAGAGTAAGCCAGAAGGCTGACCCACAACGCAAGAGCCTGAGGGATGATGGTGAGGGCCTGTGGATGCTGGCGCCAGCATGGCGGGAGCACATGGTCATTAGGTCTGAGGCTGGGTCTACGCTGATTCTGGAGGCCAGAGGGAACCGTTGAAGGTGTTGTGAGCAAACAGATGCCCAGCCAGATCTGTCAGGAAGCCCAGGCTGCCAGTAGTGCGGGGCGTGGCTAAGAGCAGAGAGGGAAGGAAAGCCAGACATCGGGCAGATGTTTCCAGTTTCCATGCCCTTGCTACATGAGCAATTCTTAGAATCAGGGGTGGCAAACGGGTTCCAGATAGGAGCCGGCTCAGAGGGTTGTGACTGCCTGAAGTGCTGTGGGGTTTCTGGGTTGTTTTTTTTTTTTGTTTTTTGTTTTTGTTTTTGTTTTTTTTTTTGAGGCAGTCTCACTCTATCACCCAGGCTGGAGTGCAGTAGTACAATCTCGGCTCACTGCAACCTCTACCTCCCAGGTTCAAGTGATTCTCATGCGTTAACCTCCCGAGTAGCTGGGATGACAGGCACCCGCTACCACACCTGGCTAATTTTTTTTGTATTTTTAGTAGAGTCTCACTGTGTTGCCAGGCTGGAGTGCAATGGCTTAAACTTGTGAGCTCAGGCAATCCATTCACCTCGACCTCCCAAAGTACTGGGATGACAGGTGTGAGCCACTGCGCCCAGCCCTGGAGTGCTGTGTTGAAAAGGACCCTGAGCCTGCGTCTGGAGACAGAGGGAAGAGTGTGTGCTCCGTCAGTGATGGCGCCCTGAGCACCAGGCAGGAGGCCAGTGATACGGATGCCAACCCCCCCCCGCCGATCGAGTCCATGCTTGGAAACAACATGGAAACTGCGATTCTGTCCCTGTGCAGTGAACCTGAAGGAGGACCTTGTGAGCTCTGGCACGTGTGTGGCTACAGTGGCTCAGCCACGTCTCCTTCCATGAGCCCCTGTGACCCTCACCTCATGGGTGTTTGAGGTAGAGAACTCCGTGATGCCTGCAATCTGGATGCTGCCCCTGGAATCTTCCTGAGGTCCAGAAACCCCGAGGATGGGTTCAGGAGGTCCCGGATCACTTCATTATAAATCTGAGGAGGAACAGAAAGGCTGGGAGCAAAGTAGCTTTGGCACAAAATAATTACAAGAACTGGCCAGGTGCTGTGGCTCACACTGGTAATCCCAGAACTTTGGGAGGCCGAGGTGGACGGATCACGAGGTCAGGAGTTCGAGACCAACATGGCCAACATGGTATAACCCCATCTCTACTGAAATACAAAAATTAGCTGGGTGTGGTGACAGACACCTGTCATCCCAGCTACTGGGGAGGCTGAGGCAGGAGAATCTCTTGAACCTGGGAGGCAGAGTTTGCAGTGAGCCAAGATTGTGCCACTGCACTCCAGCCTAGGTGACACAGCAGCAAGGTTACGTCTCAAAAAAAGAATTACAACTTAGCACTGGGCTTTGAACCTCCTGAGAAATCTCAGCCCTGGGGACTGGGGCTTTCCACGAGGTCACTTGGCCTCTGGGGTAACACGCAGTGCTGAGGATGTCACACACACAGGTGTGTTTCGTCTGGTGCCATCATGCTCATTTTGCAGACAAGGCAACTGAGACAGGTGGCAGGCTCACCTCAAGGTAAGACATGGACACGCTGTAGTCCGCGCTGTCCCGGGTCTCCTCAGTGGCCTGGAAGAGGTCAGTGAAGGTCTGCAGGTAGATGCCGGGCTCCGCATCCATACCCAGCATGGTGTGGGTCTTCCCTGCACCTGGAAGAGGAGCGGAGACACTCGCCAGGGTTGGGGGACTTGGAGGTGGGCTCCACCTGGAAATGCTGGCCATTAAAAGACAGAGAGCTGGGCGTGGTGGCTCACACCTGTAATCCCAGCACTTTGGTAGGCTGAGGTGGGTGTATCACCTGAGGTCAGGAGTTCAAGACTAGCCTGACCAACATGGTGAAACCCTATCTCTACTAAAAATACAAAAATCAGCTGGGTGTGGTGGCGCATGTCTGTGATCCCAGCTACTCGGAAGGCTGAGGCAGGAGAATCACTTGAACCCGGGAGGTGGCAGTTGCAGTGAGCTGAGATTGAGCCATTGCACTCCAGCCTAGGCAAGAAGAGTGAAACTCCGTCTCAAAAAACAAAAGAGAGTGAGACGCTGTTTCAAAAAAAAATGGGGTGCAGAGAGCACAGGAGCCCTGATTTTACCCTTCACCACTGGAAGGGAAGTCACTTGGCTGTAGGGCCTGGAAGAAGCCTGAAATCCCCTGTCAGGCTTTGTCTGAGAGCCAAACATCCCCTGTCCTCTCACGCTGGTGATGGGTCTGTCGCTTCCCCTTCAGGAGGCAAGTGTTCAAATCCCACCTACCCAACTCAGCAAGGGCTGCCATTCACTCCATCACCCCTCCCTGGGTCCTGGCTCCCCTCTGTGACCCCCCTCCCAGATGGGGGTCAGGTGACGAATTGACAGCATTTGTCCCTAGTAAAGGGTGGTGACCTGGAGGACTAGGAGGGATTGTGACCTGACTCTGGGTCCAAATGTTCAGCTCTGGGCCCCACCACGCAGTCTCTCCTATGGTGCTTCTTCTGTGAAATGGGCACAATTAAGCCTCTGTCCGGATCCCTGTCCCTCTGGCTCTCTCCCCCGAGGTCTAGCGTCCGGCCCCTCCGCAGGCCCTCGCGGACACCATGAGTGCTCACAGCATGCTCGCTTCTCCTTTTGCTATGGTCTGCCCTCCATGCGGGGATGTGGGTGAGCGGGCAGGGCTGCACTGTAGCCCCACGGAACACAGGGCCGCTCTGTGGAATGAAGGGCTGAGTGCATGAATGAAAGAGCCTGGGCAAAGCCAGAAGCTGGCGGCCCCTGCACTGTGAAGGGTCTCCCCCTGCCGTCCCTGGGGTGAGCTTTCAATGAAGGGTCTCCCACTGCCGCCCCCAGGATAAGCTTCTGCACAGTCTCCTTGTCCCCAGGGAGACCCCTGTGAGAAGACAGGGCTGAGACTGCCTGGCCGCTATGTCCTCGCCAGGTTCTCTAGCCCCAGAGGGGGACGCAGGGACAGCAGGGGCAGGTGGTTAAACCTGAGTTGTGTGCTGGTCGAACACCCTGTCGAAGATGAAGGTCCCCTCCCGGGACCGGTGTGTGCGTGGCGCGTCCTCTGGGTCCTCGCCGTGGTCCATGAGCACCACCATCTGTGAGCAGTGAGCCGGCCAGGCTGGTCAGGATAGGTCAGAATGGGGACCCTGGAGAGACCCCAGGCCTGGCACTCACCCTGGATCCCTCCAAGGGGCTTGGTCCAGGTCCAGGTCCAGGAAGGGCTGCGGGCTTCTGTGCTTTTGAGTCAGGCACCCACATCACCGCCCAGCACCCTCTCCACTTGCTTCTGAGGAGCACTGTTTACCACTACTGCACCGACACTCACACTCACACCCCATAAATGCTGCCTTGGTCAAACCACATCGAGGACAGTGGCCCAGCACCCACCAGCCTCGCTCAGGGGCCAGGACTTCAAGCACCACTGCTCCCAGTACTGGCAGGCGGCCCTGGGCCCCACCAAGCCAAACCCTTTGATGATCCCATGGGTCAGGGATGGGAAGGGCCGAGCTGGTGCCTAGCCGCTGTGCTCAGGGTCTCTGCACATGAACCTGAGTGTTTGCACTCTTAGCCCTGCCTCTTGTGGCTCACCAGGGCTGAACTAGACACAGGAAACAGGAGAACAAAGGACTGAGCTGGGCGTGGTGGTTCACATCTGCAATCCCAGCATGCTGGGAGGCCAAGGCGTGTGGATCACTTGAGGTCAGAGTTCGAGACCAGCTTGGCCACTATAAAATCGCGGCTCTACTAAAAATACAAAAAGTTAGCCAGATGTGGTGGTGCATGCCTGTAATCTCAGCTGCTTACGAGGCTGAGGCAGGAGAATCACTTGAACCCAGGAAGTGGAAGTTGCGGTGAGTCGACGCCATCTCAAAAAAAAAAAAAAAAAAAAAAAAAAAAAAAATTAGCCAGGCATAGTGGTGCATGCCTGTTGTCCCAGCTGCACGGGAGGCTGAGGCAGGAAGATCGCTTGAGCCCAGGACTTCAGGCTGCATGCAGTGAGCTGTGATCCCATAACTGCACTCCAGCCTGGGCCACAGAGTGAGACCTCAACTCAAAAATAAAGGACTCAGCCAAGTTCCCCAGTCCTGCTGTTTATTTTTCTGAGTACCTGGTCGTCCCCAGGGCCATCTCATATAAATACCTAACTAAGACACAAAGTGTATTAGGGTCCCTGGGGATAGACAGGTTCAAAGGAGCCTTTCCCAGGGAATTGGGGGGGGGGGGGGAAACAGGGCAATTAGAAACCAAATTCAACCTCAGCTGGTTAATCCACCAAGGAGCTCCCTGGCTGGGAGGAACTTGGGGACCCCAGTGGCCAAGAGGAGCCATGGGGTCTAGGGAGGTGCCACTGGGTTGTACCAAGCACCCCACCATCGACCAGCCCACCCCACCCCACCCCACCTGGGCTCACAGCTTTGGAAACCGAGGTCCCAGGAGACCAGGGCCAGCCAGCAGTTCTCAGGAGTCAGTTGCAGGGCTGAGTCCAGGTTCCTGGGGCTCTTTTGGCTTCTAGCCAGCACTTTTCCACATTGTAAGTGAACTCCCTTTTCTTTATGCTTTTGTCCTTCGAAAGATGGAGACCATGAAAAGACAGGATACCTCGGGGCAGCTCCTGTCCATATAGCCCCCAGCAAGTGCCGGCCATGGACCAGGCCTGAGCTGCAGAAGGAATCCGATGGGAAGCGGAAGCAGGAGGGCATTGGTGGTTAAGACAGCAGGCTTTGCCAGGCAAGGTGGCTCACATCTGTAATCCCAGCGCTTTGGGAGACCGAGACAGGTGGATCATATGAGGTCAGGATTTTGAGACCAGCCAGGCCAACGTGGTGAAACCCTGTGTCTGCTAAAAGTAAAAAATTTGGCTGGGCTTGGTGGCTTACGCCTGTAATCCCAGAACTTTGGGTGGCCAAGGCAGGCAGATCACTTGAGGTCAGGAGTTCAAAACCAGCCTGCCCAACATGGTGAAACCCCATCTGTACTAAAAATACAAAAAATTACCCAGGCATGGTGGCATGGTGGGGGGGAAGCCACAGAACTGGTGACACCTGCCTCGCCGTTGCGAAGGGCACACACCCGGGGACAGAGCCAGGAAAATGGAATTTGGAGGTGCTCAGGCAGGAATGGCAGTCCATTCGTTCTCATTTCCTCCCAACGCCGCCCCCGCCCACAGAACAGCAGTGAGGCCACCAACTCCAAGCCCCCATGCCAGCCCCAGTCCCCCACTGCATCCCTCCTAGGAGGAAAACAGAACCAGTGTCTCCGGGGCAGAAGCAACTCTGAGCAGACACACAGCAGCCCCCTCGAAGCCCTGACGTGAGCCCGCCTTTGCTGTGATGGTGGATGTCGCAGCACATGGCTCTCACTTCAGGGAATGAGGCTCACCTTTGAGGCTTTGGACTGGCTCAAGCGATCCTTCTGTTCAAAGATCTTAGAGTATTTCTTCAGATCCTTTTTAATTTGCTGAAACAAAAGACTACTGTCACTCAGGATTTAACATGCAAAGCAAGAAGCACAAACGCAATCTTCAAAGTTGCCGCCATGAAGTGACATCCAGAGTCATTAACAGAACACAGTGCCCCAGGAGTGCTCGCGCCTGCTCTCTCTCCCATGTTTCACGTTGAGCCTGACTTCTTTCCTGGGATGTAACCCTCCTCTTCGTTCTGACCTAATACCATCGGCCTATTTTACCATCATTATGTAAATCCCAGACAAATCACTTTCTAATCCCACCAGGACTTTTTAATAGCCCCTGGCATCTTTTCATCCACCCCTTGGGTTCATGTAAAACTTCCCTCAACAAGCTGAAGACCTCAGTTAACTATCCTAAAGCTGTTCTATTCCATTCGTTTTTCACTGTTCCCTTGTCTCTTCAAAGGACCTATCCCCCAGTCACCAGCCTAACCACTTTTCCTTTCAATGCCATAATCACCTCCACATGCCCTGCACCTGAGGGTGGGGGACGCTGACCTTGATCTGCTCCTGGCTCAGGAGTGTTGGAGGCCGGGGCCGCCACAGCAGCTGGCAGAAGCGGTCCTTGTTGTTCTTCTGCAGGAGGCGTCCCTGGAAAGTCCACAGCCAGTACGCGTTGTCCACCTAGGCCAGGGCAGGGACACACCAGGACATAAAGGGGTCAGCAGAGCCACAACAGTGACTATGTCACTTGCTGAACAAGGTCCTGGATATCGGGCACACGTGTGAACCAAACAAAGCTCTACCTCTGCTGAGCTGACATGCAGCAGGGGAGGTGGTCAGTAAATGAAAGACACAAAATATGTAATCAACCCAAGGTGCAGGGCACACAGCAGCTGGAGCAGTGCTCATCACAGCACAGGCCTAGGTGCTCCTGCTGGCAACAAGAACCCCGCGCCCGATGTAAGCCAACTGCGTCACCACATGCTGCTCGGTTCCACTGTCTTCATAGCAGGACTCTCTCATGAAGGACGGCACCTTCACTGGCACCCAGGATAAACTCCCTATGACAGGCTGGCATTGTGGGAGCTAAGTGTTTATACCTCAAGCAGAGTGGTCAATAGCTTAGAAGGTCTTTTCTTTTAATGGGGTTAGGGTTTCACTTCGTTGCTCAGGCTAGTCTCAAACTCCTGGGCTAAAGTGATTCTTCTGCCTCTGCCTCCTAAAGTGGTGGGATTCCAGGTGTGAGCCACTGTGCCTGCCCTAAAATGGTGTCAAGGTAGGCCCCACGACAGTAACATATGAACATACCTGAACCCAGGCTGTGATCAACACACCCTGATTTAAATGTGAAGGTTTCTAAGTCTAGACACTTGTAGTAATATTCGGTAAGTTGATACTCCTAAAAGTTCAGTATCTCATTCAATAAAATTACCCTAATTTGATCTCATAGACTCTATTTGCATGGACGGTTTAAGCGTCAATACCTCCATCAACTTTCTAAAAGTCACTAAATACAAGAAGTCCTCGGCAAACTTAATCAGCAGTTTTCAAATAAGAACTTGTGGGTAAGGCGGCGGCTGGACTCGACCACTGACTCCAAAGAGAAGACCTTCATGTCTGAGGTTATGGAACTGTTCACACTTTAAAGGAAATGACTCCTCTCTGCAGAAAAACACTCATGCATGACACACTCACACTCCCTTTCAGGGGTCCCTGGGCCCCAGGGTAAGAACCCCCACCACGAGTAGGGGCTGCTCCTGCCACCTCTTCTATAACCCAGAATCCTCCTCCTGCCACGAACACCAGCTGAGGCTTCTGTTAAACACCATGGCCCCTCCCTGAGGTCCCAGGACAGCATCAGAGTCAGTGGCCAGCCAGCACTTCCTGCTTCTATCCACAGCCAAAGCTATGCCCTCGGGCCTGCACCTTATGGCTCTACCAGGACACAGAGGTGACTACATAGCGCCCGGTAGGATCCCACTCAACATCAGAGGCCATGTAGTGCTCTGCGATGTTCATGACCGTGCAGTCCGAAGTGTCCACAAACGCTAAGGCACCATTCATACTGCAGAGACAAACAGGACCGTCAGGTTCACGGAGACGCATACTTCCCGACATCCCACTCCTGAGAGGCACAGCATGGGGTCCCCAGGGAGCCAGCCTTGGCGTTAACATGGAAACAAGCACAGCAACAGCCTCTGGTGGCCACTGTGAGACTTACAAATCACAGCTTGCAGAGTGTGCAGTATTACACGTGTCTGCCATCACTACTATTTTCACAGGAAATATTATCTGAGGCTAAGTAAGCCTCCAAAATTAAAGCAGCAAGTGTCAACAATGAAGCAAGGGAGAGCAGCGACAAAAGGATATTCTTTTAACTCAGGGCAGAAAGCTGGAAGCTTCTCCACAATTTTGACACACTGTTGGAACGCAGCTGAGACCCATACCACCTTTCAATGCCATAATTACCTCCACATGCCCTGCACCTGAGGGTGGGGGACGCTGACCTTGATCTGCTCCTGGCTCAGGAGTGTTGGAGGCTGGGGCACCAACCACAGAGGTAAGGCAGCCCCACAGCTGTGTAACTAATACCCTCCCGCTAGAAGAGAGGGCACTGACCTCCTGGGGCGGGGGCGGGGGGGGTAACTGCATTGCTGGAAGGCACTTGTTTAACCACGAAAGAACCACAACCCACAGACTGGTCAGCCTGTCACTTCACGAAAGCATCCGCGAGTGCTTATTTCCATCTGCCCTGGCTTGGCCTCAGTCTTGGAGTGTCACGGATCCGCAAAGGTTCAATAACATCCCATCCACTGACACCGGGGTAAATCCTTTCTGTGCGCAACACGCCCTCTACCAAGAAGTGGGAGGAGGAGCCAGAGCGCAGGGTGCAGGCGCCTGAGGGGTCTCCGCCGCAGCAGGCAGAGCACTACTCATGAGGCAGACAGGTTCAGTGCGCGGACACCCACCTCCTCAGGCCCGCCAATACCACAAACTGTCCTTGGGGGCTCCAGAAGATGGTGTTTGCTTGCTGCTTGTCGAACATCTCTGAAAGGAAACAGAGTGCCCGTCACCAGCTGTGAGGGCTTCCACCCCAGGATGAAGTAAGGAACCAAGGGCAGTCAAGGCCGGGGGGCTTGGCCGGGGGTCACGCTACCCATGTGGGCACAGCTGGTAATGCCCGATGACCTCGGAAAACAATTTTACAAAATCCATTGCTAAGTACCCCTTAAGTCATCATCCATACTTTAAATGGGGGAAAAATAAAGAAGGGACAGGGGTATTTCAAAGCAACACTATTTTCCTATATCCTGAGGTACAGGGTACTTCTGCTTGCCGTCTGTCTTCTGACCTAGAAGACTGATTTAAGTCTCTGGTCAGTCTGCAACTGCCCGTATGTTTCCACCAATGGGAATTAATGATACAGCCAATCTTGTGGTCTACTGCCCACTGAGAGCACCACGCACCTGCCAAGCTCCAGCAAAGTGAAAACGAAACTAAACTCCTCACAGAACCATGTTGCGAAAGGCGAGGACAGGCGATTCCAACCCTTTACAGGTACAGGGCCAAACCCACGGCTCTGCAGGTGGGCATAAGGCAGCCAGTCCTTTGTGGGAGGAACACAACCCCTTGCTACCTCCCGGCTGCCACACACATACACACCACACCTGTGAAGCAACAGGCAATGGTTCGTTCCATCCCCACGGGTGCCGGGCTCCGTGCTGAGCAGAGACCCCCGGATGAAGTGAGGAGCCAAGGGCAAAGACAGCAGATGCCATGAGACGGGCGAGGGCCACTGCACCACTGTGAGCAGCAAGCCCCAGGTGGGTGAGTGTAGTAGCCCTGGAACCAGGTGCACTGGGGAAGACACAGCCGCATGGAACAGCTCTGCACACCCCACAAAGTCAGAGACACCCGACCCAGACTGGGGACTGGTGGGAGCATGTCCACAGGAAGTCACCCCAAGCCCAGAGACAGCACCTACAGGCGTAAGAGAAACAGCTTCACTTGAGACGATGACAGAGAAAAGAAGCCTTGAAAATACTTGCTTAAATATGAGGGCCCAATGGGGCTCAGAGAGGCGCCCTGCCCCGCAAGGAGGCAGCACCACTGGGCCATCGCTCACTTCCGTCAGCCGAGCCCACCGCGCCCCCATTCGCAGGTGAGTCCTGCCCAGCAGCGGTCCTAAGCCAGTCAAACGCTCACTGCTGGGCAACTAGGTCCTTATCTGTGCCGACCTGTTCAGAAAAGGAAAGGGACCAGGCTACTTACTGATGAGTTCAATCTTCCCGTTGTTTTTGACATGGTAGAAAGATACAGATATCCGCGGAGCCTCTCCATGCAACACAGCAAATTTACTTCCATTAGGTTCCCAGGCAAAGGCTATGATGGTTTCTAAAATTGACAAAAGAGACCACTTCCTTGTTGGTATTCAGAACAGAATACTCTTAATTAGTTAAAATGTTCATTATTCAACCAGAGAGAAATAGCCCCCAACATTTAAAAGTTCATCAAAAGGACCACAGAGCAAGCATCAGCAGGAAAAGGTGCACATTCCTGGAGTTTCAGAGGCAGCTGCCTCCACTCATGTGAATGACCTATGTGAAACTGTTCCCTCCCTAAGAGCAGGATACCCACGGTATCCTGGGCATCCAGGACAAGGAGCCTGACGTCGCAGGCAGCTGTGGATGCCACTTCCTTTGCACCTAGTGTGGCGTCTACACTAGGAATCCTGGCTTCCTGGCTCCCCGCCAGGTTTGACGTTTGCTCACCTCTCTATTTTTCTCCTTCCTCCCTCCTTGTTTCTAGAGTAAAACAAAAAGCCAACCAAAAACACAGGCGGCATCTCTTCTCTCGCTTTTGTAGACAGGGTCTTGCTGTCACCCAGGCTATAGTGCAGAGGTGCAGTCTCAGCTCATAGCAACCTCCGCTCCTGGGCTCAATTCATCCTCCCACTTCAGCCTCTCCAACAGCTGGGACTATAGGTGTACACCACCACACCTGGCTACTATCTGTATTTTTTGTACAGAGAGGGTCTCACTATGTTGCTGAGGCTATAAACACATTCTGTGACCTGGAGATGGCTATTAATGGTGAGAGTTCACGGTCCTGACTCCGTTGCTCAAACAACCCACTAGCAGGAAAGTGTTAAAAGCCAAGTGTAAAACAGCACTTAGGGCCCATCCACCTAAAAATGACTAAAATAAAACTTGCCTTTCATTTTGACCACATCCACAGGTACCTGTTTTTCCCTCATTTGGAAAATTTCAAAATTTGTGACAACAACCTGTTTAAAAAAAAAGGAGGGAAAGGGTGACATTCTGGACATTGACAACATGAGAAAAATGTTTCAATCAAAGGACAACTTCATAATGAAAGATTTGATTTGCATGTCTGGTTCGCACACATGAGCATCTGCTGTGATGGCAGCCGCAGCCCTCAGGAGAGAACACAGTTCTAAGGCTGGAGGGGAACTGCCCGCACCCCATCTAGAGGCAGCTACCGGACATGCGTGAAATAATCCGACCAGATCCCACCTTCAGGAGCCTCCCTGCCCTCCACACTCTGGCACAAGCAGTCCCAGGGTCCTCACTACAGTCTGCGGGCCAGGTCCACAGGGCCCAAAAGGCCCACCCATGGGGCTGGTGAAACTATTTCAGACAGTGGGGTGTTCTGCAGCCATGACCTTCCAGAAGTCCTGCCCTACTCCAGGAGGCTAAGGGGAAACCGCCCCAATGTCCACCAAAAGAGGAAGGAGGCAAAGAAACGTGGTCCACCCAACAGCAGATTCCTGTTCAGACTCAACACTGCGGACACGCCGTGGGAAAACTGCTCCATGAAGGAGTTAAGACACAGAGGCTGCAAACTATCTGATTCCAGCTGCGAGTCTGGAATAGGGAAGTCAGAGACATTACTGACGCCAGGAGCTGGGCAGAGACTGCTAATAGGTATGGTGTTTCTTTGTAGGGTGATGGAAACATTTATTTTTTATCTTTTAAAAATTATCTGTAGAGATGAGATCTCACTGTATTGCCCAGGCCGGTCTGAAATTTCTAGCGTCAAGTTATCCTCCCTCCCACTTAGGGTGAGCCACCACACCTAGCCAATGAAAACACTGTGAAATGAGTGATGTGGCTGCACAACCCTGTGAACACACTAAAAGCTGCTGAACTGCCCCACCACTTTAAAGAGTGGAATACTTCCATTACAGGAAAAACTCAGACAATGTTTTGATAAGGTAAGTATTAATTATCAACTACACACACACAAAATCTGAGTATGCTACTCTTTGTGCTTAGAAAGAAAATAATATCCTCGAACAGGCACAGTGGCTCACACCTGTAATCCCAGCACTTTGGGTGCCCGAGGTGGACAGATCACCTGAGGCCAGGAGTTCAAGACCAGCCTGACCAATACGGTGAAACTCATTTCTACTAAAAATACATAAATTAGCTGGGTGTGGTGGCAGGCACCTGTAGTCCCAGCTACTGGGGAGCCTGAGGCAGGAGAATCACTTGAACCTGAGAGGCAGAGGTTGCAGTGAGCCAAGATCGTACCACTGCACTCCACCCTGGGTGACAGAAAAAAAACACAAAATGATATTCTCATTTTATCAATCAATATAGAAAAAAGGTGGGTGTCTGGGGACATTTTACTGCATTCCTTTGTGAACTCTAAACCATGTGAATGTAATATCTATTCAAAACTTATTTTGGAGACAGTGTCTTGCTCTGTGGCCCAGGCTAGAGTAGAGTGGTGCAGTCATGGCCCACTATACCCTTGACCTCCTGGGCTCAAGCAGTCCTCCTGCCTCAGCCTGCCAAAGTGTTCGGATTCTAGGCATGAGGCACCACACCCAGCCTATTTGAAAAACTTTTCTTAAAAAAAAAATATACTCTACAAATAGAATATGCCAAGATCTCTAAGACTTGCCAGGTATATCAGGAAGGTGTCAAAATAACCCACAAATCTGAATTTTAAAGTCCATTAACAGCCTCTAAACAATACAGTGGTCACTGAGGAGCAAAGGATAAGGAACCTCCAGTTCCCGCGGGCACCCACGTACCTGGGTGCCTTTCGGAGTCCTGTCTACTTTCACACACAAGTAGTCTCCATTCTTTTGCCAATGCAGCTTGCAATCCACCACGTTGAACAGGTTCCTCACTCGGATCTCTTGCCTGGTAGGCAGCTGCATCAGGGTTACCCTGGCTGGAATATCTTTGTGTTCAGGCACCCAGAAGGCTATTATGTTACCACCAGGAGACCAAGAAAAGTCTCTGCAGATCAGGAAAATAAAATGTTACAGCAAAGACCAAGTGATGATGAAACTGAAAAGCAGAAGACAATAAAAGAACTCATTTGCTATACAGAAGCTCAACGCTGTCACAGCTGACGCTGAGCGCTCACTCCACACAGGCACACACTGCTCTGGGCATGGCACACAGCTTCTCAGGTCTTCACCAGGACCCTGGGGCATTACTGCGCTCACTGTAACAGGGAGTGAATGCAGACAAAATATGAGCAACCCCGTCACACACAGACTCATATCGACTCCAGCCGGGGCTCTGTCAGCCCACTCTTAGACAAAGTAAGTTTTGGGCAGGCAGATCCGGCTATATGACATCTAAAGATTAATTAAGGTGTCAAAGGGGAAAACGGCAAATCAAGTGTAAGCAATGAGCAAGAACGAGGGCAACTTCCTCTAATGGATCAGGTGCTCAGCAGAAGAGCTGCTGGAAGGAACGGTTCCTGAGCTCACCTACGCGAAAACCAGCTTTATACACGCGGTGTGCTGTGTTTTGCATTTACTGAGAACCAACGTCCTGGTCTTCTTTTTATGTGCCATAATTTTGCCCAAAAATGTAAAAATAAAAGGAGTAAGAAACAACAATGTCCTTGGATTGCTGGTAGAAGTTCACTGCCGTGATACTGACCAGTTCCAAGAGTTTTCTGATAAATAAAAATGTGCCAATTCTTTGATAATGAAAATGAGCTGAAGGCCCCCCAAACTCTGCCTCAGACAGAAGAGTAATAGGAAAACCTTTCGCTTAAGCAAAGTCCCCTCTCTTCCTTAAAACGCTGAAACCACCCTCCCAGTTTCTAGGTCAAAGATGAGGTAGATGGAAGGAAGCCAACTCAAGACTCTGGCCTTGAAGATTCATTTCTGGGCACGCACAGAGTTGCTGAAGTGGTGTCTCGAGGGTGGGTGGGCCCAGCGCGGAGCAGCCTTGCTGCCCATCGGCTTGAGCCTTCATCCTGGCATTCAGAACAAACTCACCTTAGGCTGGGCACAGTGGCTCACACCTGTAATCCCCACTTTGTGGGGAGTCAGGCAGGCAGATCACTTGAGGTCAGGAGTTCAAGACTAGCCTGGCCAACATGGTGAAACCCCTCTTCTAAAATATACAAAATATTAGCTGAGCATGGTGGTGCGCCCCTGTAATTCCAGCTACTCAGGAGGCTGAGGCACCAGAATCCTTTGAACCTGGGAGACGAAGGTTGCAGTGAGTCAAGATCATGTCACTGTATTCCAGCCTGGGCAACAGAGCAAGACCCTATCTAAAAAAAAAGATTAAAAAATGACTGGGTGTGGTGGCTTATGACTGTAATCCCAGCGCTTTGGGAGGCTGAGGTGAGACCAATTTGGCCAACAGTGAAACCCCATCTCCACTAAAAGTAAAAAAATTAGCTGGGTGTGGTGGTGAGCACCTGTAGTCCCAGCAACCCAGGAGGCTGAGGCAGGAGAATGCCTTTAACACGGGAGGTGGAGGTTTCAGTGAGCAGAGATCGTGCTGCTGTACTCCAGCCTGGGGGACAGAGTGAGACTGTCTCCAAAAAAAAAAAAAAAAAAAAAAAAAAAAAAAGATTTTTAAAAAAGAACAAACTCACCATGTTCTCTTCAACTGGTTAAGAACTGAGTGATAGGCTGGGTGTGGTGGCTCACACCTATAATCCCAGCACTTCGGGAAGCCAAGGCAGGTGTGTCACAAGGTCAGGAGTTTGAGACCAGCCTGGCCAATATGGTAAAAACCCCATCTCTACGAAAAACACAAAAATTATCTGGGCATGGTGGTGCGCACCTGTAGTCCCAGCTACTTGGGAGGGTGTGGCAGGAGAATCGCTTGAACCCGGGAGGCAGAGGCTGTGGTGAGCTGAGACTGTGCCACTGTATCTCAGCCTGGGTGACAGAGCAAGGCTCCATCTAAAAAAAAAAAAAAAAAAGTACTAAACGAGAGAGCAAATAAAGGAAACCACCTGCAGTGGAAAACATCTATGTCCCCCAAATTCACAGGCTGAAATTCTAACCCCTGGGGTGATGGCATTAGCGGGGGACTTTGGGGGCTGAGCAGGTCATGAGGATGAAGCCCTCAGGAATGAGATGAGGACCTTTACAGAAGTGGACCCAGAAGCCTTCCACCAGGTGAGGCTGGACTGAGGGTTGCCCATGAGGAAGTGGGCCCTCACCAGTCAACAGGCGCGGTGACCTCAGGCTCCCAAACTCCAGAACTGGGAGAAAGACATCTCTGCTGTAATAAGCAACCAGCCTTTGGCATTATGTTAAGCAGCCTGAACACACTAAGATACCAAATTGATAAGAACACTCACTTTATCCCAGAGATCTTCAAACTCTTCTTGTCTAGAAGACCCATAGACTGGCCAAAAAAAGGGGAAGGTTACAGTTGAGTCAAATCATGTCAGTGTCTCAGTAACACACGTAACTTTTCACAAAAGGAAACGAGTCTGATGTGAGTTTGCCTAGGGAGCAGTGCGCCGAGAGGGTGACGGTGAACCCACCCACCCATCCACCGCCACGAGCCGCAGTTCCAAAGCCCACTGTAGTAACTCCCACCCAGGACTTCCCACAGCTGCGCAAGGTGGGCAGGTGGGACTAAGGAGCTTCGCCCAGAGCAGGAGCACTTAAAACGGCGCAGGAGACAGGCCTTTACTGCGATCTGTGAAACCTCCTCCTCCTCTTCTAGCACAAGTAAGTAAAGGCACCACACCCCGATTACAAGCAAGGACAGGATGTGTGTTTCCCATCACTGAAGCCACTTACAGGAGTTTCATAGATGCTAAGTGTATCCAGGGTCATTCTGGCAAAGAATTTACCATCATGGCTCCACCTAAGAAGAAAACAGAAGTGCCAGCGTATTCCAATTACAAGACAAAAGGCTACAGAGGTTGTTAACAATGATCCACGTACTTAAAAATAGGCCAATGGGCTGAGCTCTCACAGTGAAAACCTCTCTTCTTGTGCCCCGTAAGGATGTCCCAGATGATTATGGCCTGAGGGTCATCCTGCGTGTCCATCAGGGGGCTAAAGGTCACCAGGTACCTAGAAGAGAGGGAGGCAACACTGCATGCTATCCTCCTCTCCCGGGAGGATCACAGTCTGTCTGTGCAGCCAGAACAAGCAGTCAGAACTCACGGAACCAACTCTCTCCCTAGAGACCACACTCTCCCAGCCCCAAGAGATCCCAAGCGGAGTGGGAAGCAGAAGCAGCACTTGTTCGTTCTTGGTGTCAACACACGGCAGGCATTCCAGTTTATCCAAGATCAGCACAGGAAAAATCACGCAGATCCTACACAAAAGTCTGCTGAGTGATCTAGAGGGAGACGCAGTGTGGAATTCTGTCTTTTTTTATTTTTTATTTTTTGAAACAAAATCTCACCCTGTTGGTCAAGCTAGGGTGTAATGGCATGACTTGGCTCACTGAAACATGTACTTCTTGGGTTCAAGCAATTCTTGTGTCTTAGCCTCCTGAGTACCTAGCATTATAGGTGCTCGCTACCATGCTCGGCTAATTTTTGTATTTTTAGTAGAGATGGGGTTTCCCCATGTTGGCCATGCTGATCTTGAACTCCTGGCCTCAGGCGATCCACCAACCTTGACCTCCCAAAGTGCTGTTGGGATTACAAGCATGAGCCACCACGCCCGACCGAAAGAGAAGATTGTGATTCAGTAGGTCTGGGGTGTAGCCTGAGACTCTGCATTGAAGTGCTGGGACATGCTGTGCTGCTGCCCTGCAAAACTCTGGGCCATATGAAGAGTCGGTGACTCTGCCTTTTCCTCCAGCTAAGCAGGTGGTACCCAAAGGCTGGCTCTGGAACTGTTTGGCAAGTCTCTGGGGCCCTTTGAGACTCAGCTCACCTGTAATCACTAGCCGTGTGTGGTAGGCCCACTTCTGAGAGGCCCCCAGATTCCAGGCTCCTGGTGCACACTCACTTTCTCTACCCTCTCTCAGGTGTTCAGTCAAATACTGACTAGGTATCGTTGCTGTGGGATTTTGCAGATATAATTAAGATCTCAGATCTATTGACCTTAAGGTAGAGATTACCTGGGTGGGCTTGCTCTACTCGTGTGAGCCCTTGAAGTCTGAGTCCAGGTGTCTGAGGCAGAGCAGTCAGAGACATGGCAGGAGAGGGTTTGACGAGGGAGATTGGTCGTGGTTGACTTTGGAGATGGAGAGTGCCACATGGCAAGGGATGTGGGTATCTTCTAGGAGGTGACAGCTGTATTGGGCTGGCAGCTGGCAGGGAAGGAGACCTCATTCTCCATCCCTGTGAGCTTGTGAAAGGATCCTGAGCTCCGCATGAGAACACGTCCTAGCTCACTGCATTGATGTTTAGCCTGGGAGACCCTGATCAGAGAACGCAGCCACCTATCTCTGAACTTCTGACCCACAGAGCCGTTGGCTTGTAAATAAATAGGTGACATTCGAGGCCACTGAGTTCACTAATATGCTTTATGTCATCTCAAGAGACATGTCTTCCTCCTCCCAGGCTTTTTCACCTTCCTGTCACCTGTCCCTCTCCCATTCCCCAGCCTGGGGTCGAGTTGCTGGGCGACATGAAGACTTAGCCTGGGCCCTGCAGGAACGGGTGCTCAGGGAGTGTGTCTGTTGCATGGAGTCACTCACCTTGTTTGGTACAGTCACTGAGATTCTTTGTTATTTGGGTGTGACCTGCGCAGTTGGAAGAAAGAGCAGAGCAGATCCGTTCCAAGTCCCACCTCATCCAGGTGGAGCGGGAGAAGATGCAGATGGAGCTGAATCACAAGAGGGCTCGAGTGGAGCTGGAGAGAGCGGCCAGCACCAGTGCCAGGAACTATGAGGTGGGTTCAGGTGGGGTGAGCATTGGCCAAGCCAGCCCCACGAAGCAAGGGGACTGCACGGTAACTGCCAGGCTATAAGAAATCAGATCCCAGCCCCTGGGAGAAAGAGGGCTGTGCAGAGTACCTACCAGGCTGTAGGAAATCAGAACCCAGTCCCTGGGAGCAAGGGGGCTGTGCACGGTACCTGTCAGGCCATGAGAAATCTAGAACCCAGCTGGCTGGAAGCCTGAGACGCCCTGTGCCACAGTTGCCAGGACATTCCTTCTGAGGCCACTAATGCTGGGCGCCAGGTATAAGTTATGCTTGATGTCCTAGAGAAGGGTGGCATGAAATGGGGACAATTGTGAAGAGTGGCCCCTTGCTGTGTCTGCTCAGTGAGGCTGCGGGACTGGCACACAAACCTCCTGGTTTCCTCTTCCCTCTGGAAGAACTGGAAGGCAGGTCTGGCAGAAATGCCGAGTGGTTTAGGAGTGACAGGCTTAGGAGCTGACGGGGTGGAATGGGGTCTTGGGTCCATGCTAGGCCTTTGGGTTGGAGGGCTGTAGCAAAGAGTGCCGGCCTCAGTGGCAGCTGGGTGTTGCTCCTGGCTTGCCCAGGGCAGTAGGGGAAGCTCCTTGTCCTTGGGGAGGGAATTAGGTTTCCACCGAATGTGCGGATCTCCTCTGCTTTGATTAACGGCACTTTGCCAGGGTTTCAGTAGGTGCTGATCAGCTGTGGATGCTGCCAAGGCTCAGGCAGAGCATTCGATGGAGAGTCTCCCTGGCCTCTGTGCCCTTTCTTGCTGGTGGATGTGTCTAGCCCCTCCCCCAGACAACCTGATGCAATATATTCACACACACTTCTAGGCCCTAGAAAAACAAATAGCTCACGTCTTCTGGGGTGTGATGGTTTTTGGATTCCTTGTCCCTGGCCTGCAGATCCTGGCTGCCGTGTGTTGTGTGGGCTTAGGGAGCCCAAGACACTGCCGGGGTGGGTGCCGCTGCCTCTGGGGCGGCTCCCGTGCTGCTTTGAGAGCTGTTTTCCCTGAGAGGTTGGGGCTTTTGCTCATGGCCTGGGTGGGTCCTAGGAGGGACAGTCCTGGTGGAATTGATGGGACGGGGAGGGAGAGGACACAGGAATCTCCCTGACTATTGAGGTTCCCTGGTTAGGGGTGGAGAGGTGGCACCAGTTTAGTGGCACCATTAGTCTGGAGGCAGCGTGCTCGTGGCACGGCTCTGGCTCTAGGGCAGGAGGATGGAACGTGCAGCCGTTTGAGTTTCTCTGGGCCAAGAGTCCCCAAGGACAGGGCCCACCTGACTGTCCAGGATTTCCATCATGTGGCACAGCTTATGGCACCTTATGGATGCTGACAAATGTTTGATTGAGGGAGGGGTCACTGTAGGGTCTCTGGAGCCCTTTCTTGGGGAAATCCAGGGATGCAGGTGACTGAGCTTACACCTGGGGCTCCCTGCTGAGCTCCAGCCACCTTCCAACAGGCCTTTCCTTCCTTGCCCACAGACACAGCTGCATGAGACCCCAAGAACAGTCCCAACCAGTAGTTCTCCAATTGTTCCTTGGAGTTCCACCTGGAAATACCTATTGGGGGTGAAACCTAAGTGTCTGAAGTCCAGGGACCTGCCGGCTGTCCTGTCTGCACTAGGACTGGCAGCACCAGGCCCAGTGCCACATCTGGCTTGTGACAGTGCTGAGCGGAGCCCTGCTACAACCCCAGCTGTCTTCTTGTTCTGCATCACAGAAGGGTCTCTTGGTTGTGGTGAGACGGCTCTTGCAGCTCACAAGGGCTGGAGTCCCTCCGAGGTGCAGGTCAGCCATCAGAAAGTGGCCACCCTCTGTCACACCTCTCCTAGGTTTTGGGCTGGAGTACCCTGGACAAGGGTAGCACAAGCACGTACTCTGCCCTGGGCTCCATGAGTGCTTGGCGCTTCCTGAGGAAGGCAGGGCGAGAGGGCCCAGAGTGCCGGCTCCACCAGGACTCACCGTCTTCACCTCCCGGGACTCCCGTACCTGGCAGTGAACTCAGCAGGGCCTGCGGGTCATTAGAATCAGGATTTCTGAGCATGGTTCTTGGTTCTGTCCCATCCTAACCAGCGAGAGCCACGTGGCCTCCCCAAGGCCAGTCCTGCGGAGTGGCTCTGGAGGTTCACGTGAGATGCTGTGGATATGTGGCAGAGTTGAGCCCAGTGTAAACTCCTTCTGTCTGCAGCCTCCTGTCCACGCCACCTGTCTCTGCCCCTGTCATCTGCTCGCTGGGGGAGTGCCAGCTCATTTTAGTGCCGGCCATCATGTGCTTAGTCAGGACCTGCTGGTGCTGCAGAGCTCAGCTTCTCTACAAGGTCCATTCTGAATTTCACATTTCCCGTGCTCCCTTTCCCTGCAGAGGCAACCGCTGAGCAGATGGTGTGACAAGTGTGTGTGTGATCTGTGTCAAGTGCCCTTCCTGGGAGCCCTGACCTCTCACAGTGCTCACGTCACGGTGTCTCAGTGGGGGCGCCAATGCTGGAGCTGGGTCCCAGGTCCCGTCCTGGCTCTGCCACTGACTTGGCTGGCGGGTCCTGCTTGGCTCTTTTCTGCACCTCGGTGGCCCGTTCTGAGAGAGGTATGGGGGTGAGGGCTCCCCGCTGACCTTCCCATGGGTGGCATGTGGCATCTTCCTCTTGTTCTCTTGACAGCGCGAGGTTGACCGCAACCAGGAGCTCCTGACCCGCATCCGGCAGCTTCAGGAGCGTGAGGCCGGGGCGGAGGAGAAGATGCAGGAGCAGCTGGAGCGCAGCAGGCAGTGTCAGCAGAGCCTGGATGCTACCAGCAAGAGGCTGCGTGAGAAAGAGGACAGCCTGGCCCAGGCCGGCGAGGTGAGTGGGGCCTCTGCTGGACTGGGTCCCCCCTTCTGAAGCCGTGTTCCCGGGAGAGGAAATGCATGCTCTTGTTTGCCTCTGCAGCACCTCCTTTGTGTTTTTAGTTGTGTTTCCCACATGGGCAGCTGTGTTGTTTGCATAGCTGTAATCAGTAGAAGTATTAGTTTTCCATTCTGTAGTTTTTAGTTAAAAAGTTGAGCGTTTGATCCAGGCATGGTGGCTCACGCCTGTAATGCCATCACTCTGGGAGGCCGTGGCGGGAGGATCACCCGGTCAGGAGTTCAAGACCAGGCTGACCAACATGGTAAAACCCATCTCTACAAAAAATACAAAAATTAGCCAGGCATGATGGTGGGCACCTGTAATCCCAGCTACTTGGGAGGCTGAGGCAGGAGAATTGCTTGAACCCAGGAGGTGGAGGTTGCAGCGAGCCAAGATCATGCCATTGCACTCCAGCCTGAGTGACAACGGGAGATTCTCTCTCAAGAAAAAATGAGCACTTTTTTCTTCTGTAATTATGAATTTTAACGGTTGAGAATCTGCTTTTTGTCGTTTGTGAATGTTCAGTGTGTTTGCGTTCACTCGTCATATCTATGTGGCAGGTAGCCCATCGTCTAGCCCTCGCTTCTGCTGACTTTGGACAGACCCCTAGGTTTGGGTTATAAGGTCCCCAGCGATGGCGGTCTCTGTGTCGGTTGCTCTTAGAGCCCTCGTTGAGGGCTCCAGTTTCCCTGCAGCCTTCCCTGTCGTGGATGGTGGTCTTTTCTGGAAATAGTTGTTGTATTTTCGGGAGGCTTAAATAGGCATGTGTGGATTTGCATTTCTTTGACTACTGGCAAGGTGTGCAGGCATCCGATGGCGTCGGGGAATTGCCTCAGAACTGGAGCCGGTGTGAACTGCAGTCCGTGTGAAGGTTGCGTTCGTTTTAGAAACAGTGGACATGGGTGCTGGTGGAAACTGGAATCTTCTGACCTCTCCTGTCCCTATTCTGTGGCAATCAAGATCGCTGGTGCCAAAAGGAAACATGAAAATCTGCTGGTGTGGGTGTGGAGGTGTGGGGGTCCGGGTGGGGTGGGCATGCAGCGCCTTGTGTGCGTTCTCCATCTGCAGCTCTTCTGGAAGGGTCCAGAAGCTGGTTGTGGTTATTTTTCTGGGCAAGCCTAGGGAGACGTGTTCAGGTTGTTCCCCCAGCTGCCTCTGGAGGGAATGTGGGCAGGAGAGGAGGCGTGATTGGCTTCTGAGAAGCCACTCTTACCTTGCCCTTGCTCTGGGTTCCAGGCTGTGTGCTGGGCTGTGCTGGAGGCAGGTCGGGGATTCCATGGGGAAGGGTGAGTTGTGCCCAGCACTCCACAAGGGGCAGAGGAGCAGGAGACTGTAGGAGGTACAGGGCGGTGCCCGGTGGGGCGGGACACAGTGAGAGGAAGCTTGTCGCATGCAGGTGCTGCTGCTGTGCCCTGTCACATCTAAGCCAAGGTGGCAGCTCCTCAGGAAAGCCTTCCCTGCTCACTGGGCCTTGGCCTCCTTCTCTGGTGACAGGGCCCTGTCACCCTCCTTACTCTGGAATTATCTTATGTGCCTCTTCCTTGCCGAGTGTCCTGCATCCCCTACACGGGTGCCCCTGCGGCAGGTGGGCTCGGCTCTGCATCTGGCTCAGCCCTGGCACCTGCTGTGTATTAAGACCTCTGGGAGGATGTGTTTATTGTTAGTATGTTTTCAATACCTTTCTTCTTTTTTGACTCCCAAGTTGGCCCCTCACTATTGTGGTGAAGTAAACCGTACAGATTGTGGGTGTGCAGGGAGCCCACACAGCCCCACGCCGGCCTTCCCAGAGTGGCATTGGGTGGACAGCGGTGATGGGCTTCAGCGGCCCTGAGCTGGGCACGGGTTCTCTGGGACAGGGAGATGAGTGCTGTGGCCTCCTTGTTTGCGGGGGTGCGGCCCAGCCAGGTCCCCCAGGTTGTTTGCTGTGTGAGTTTGCCATTGTCCTGCCCTGGATGCGTGGTCCCCAGAGCTGACATCACCCCCATGTGTTTCCGTGTGTTCACTTACAGCGATGCTTCTCAGTGTCCATCTGGCTTTGCACATTGGTTTGACCCGAGGACACCTGGGGTTTTCTGAGCTTTTCCAGGGGGTTAGGGTCCTCAGAAGGTTGCCTGTAGGGGATGATCAGGAGGAAGTGTGGCGATTTGGTTGTGTTGCATTTGGGTTCCGTGATGTCAGCAGAGCTGCACCTGCTGTCCTGGAGGCTGCTGGAGGGACTGCTGGGTTTGCTCAGGGACCGCCTCCCCAGGTGGTTCCTTCCTGTGCCAAGCACTCCCTTTCCAAGCACATGGCCTGCCAGCAGGTACTGCCCAGCCCTCTGCAGAGCCTCCATCTTTGTCCTTTTGGTTGGCCATTGCCTTGCTGTTGTTCGAAGGTGATGTCATTAGCAAACAGCTGGCACAGTAGCATGAGGGTGGCTAGGGAGGGATGCCAAGAGCCACGTTTGGAGGGAAGGCCAAAGTGATGGTGTGGCAGGCACATGGATGGATGCCTGGTGGGACTTTGGGAGTGTGGGGCACTGGCACAGAGACTGCCAGGTGCCAGGCGTGAGAGTCCAGGCCCCTCTTGGCTGGTGGGGGCTTTTGCTTCTGAAGCCTCCTCACCAAGCCTCCTTTCCAGGGGCCCTGGCTGGGGCCTGGGTGTTTTCCATCAGCTCTTGGGTGGCCTGTGGCAGGCTCTGAGCTGTGCTGTTCTGGAGCACCTGGAGAAGGGTGGGCCCTGCATGTCAGCGTCTGCCTGGCTGCATGTCCTCCTGCAGGAGGTGGCTTTGCCCCCTGGCCCCCTGCTCCCCTGCTCCTCTGACCCCCCACCCCTCTGCCTCTCTAATCCTCTGCCCCCTCCCTCATGTCCCTCTGCCCACTGCCTCCCTGCCCCTCTGCTCCCTCTGGCCTGTCCCCCTGCCCCCTGCCCCCCTGCCTCCCTTCCCCTCTTCCCCCCTTCCCCCCTGCCCCCTGCCTCCCTGCCCCTCTGCCTCCTGCCCTGCTCATGGTCTTGGCTCACTAAGTGGCTCTCTGGCCCCCTCTGCTTTCAGACCATCAACACACTGAAGGGGAGGATCTCGGAACTGCAGTGGAACGTGATGGATCAGGACATGCGTGTGAAGCACCTGGAGTTGGAGAAGCAGGAGCTGCAGGAACAGCAGGACCTGCAGCACAAGTGGGTGGAGGCCAGGGTGTGGGGTCAGGGCAGGAGCTGGCAGGGGTCGGGTCATGGGTTGGGGTGTGGGGTCTGCCTCTCTCCTGGTGGCTAAGTGGGATGTGGATGCACTCCCAGATGCTGTCCTAATTCACAGTCAGTCAAGAGGGGCAGACACTGAGACCTGTGGAGCCAGGACCATGAGCCCAGAAAGTGTCCTCATGTTCCTAGAGCAGAGTGGGGGCAGCAACTTTCTCGCACTCCTTCCTGGAGAGGGCTCCTGCAGATTTTACTTTATTTTTTGAGGCAGGGCCTCACTCTGTCATCCAGTCTAGAGTGCAGTGGCACAATCATGGCTCACTGCAGCCTCGACCTCCTGGGGTCAAGCGATCCTCCTGTCTCAGCCTCCAGAGTAGCTGGGACTGCAGGCATATGCACTACACCTGGCTAATTTTTTGTGATGGAGTCTCACTCTGTCACCCTGGCTCGAGTGCAGTGGCACCATCTCGGCTCACCACAACCTTTGCCTCCTGGGTTCAGTGATTCTCCTGCCTCAGCTTCCTTAGTAGCTTGGATTACAGGCACCTGCCACCACGCTCGGATAATTTTTTGTGTTTTTAGTAGAGATGGGGTTTCACTTTGTTAGCCAGGATGGTCTAGATCTTGTGGCCTCATGATCTGCTAGCCTTGGCCTCCCAAAGTGCTGGGATTACGTGTGTGAGCCACCTTGCCTGGCCTCTACTTTTCAATTTATTTTATTTCTTGTAGAGATAGGGTCTCACCATATTGCCCAGGCTGGTCCTGAACTCCAGGGCTCAAGTGATCCTCCCTCCTCGGCCTCCCAAAGTACTGGGATTACAGGGGCGTGTCACTGTGCCCGGCCTAGGTTCACCTTTTGAACAGCCGTTCTCATTGGTCATTCCCCCTTTCTCCTGCAGACCTGCTAAGGCCGCAGGCCGTGGAGTCCCAGGCCACTGTGCAGCGGGCCCCAGCCCCCCATGGAATGCAGATGCCGCAGGGGGAACCCGCTGCTCCTGTCCCACAGCCTGCAGGAGCTGCTGGCCAGGGACACCGTGCAGGTGGAGCTCATTCCTGAGAAGAAGGGTCTCTTCCTGAAGCATGTGGAGTCAGGAGTCAAGAGCGCAAGTTTGTCCAGAGGCGGCTGCCGTGCGCGCGCCTATTCCACACATTACGGGGCGAGGCGAAAGCCTTAGTGGAAGCGCGTCCTGCGCGAGGACGGGTGCCCTGACTGCGCCGCGGCCCAGCCTTCGGTTCCGAATCTTTTCCTTGCGGAGTCTCCCGAGGTTGGCGGCTCCGGGTGCGGCCGCGGAGTGGCCAGGTTGAGCCGGCGCTCGAACTGGATTCTTTACGGCCCGAGTCCCACCCAGGTCTCGCGAGAGCTCAGGCGCAAGTGTCGCGATAAGTGGGCGCGGGCGGAGCGGAGGGAGATCTGAGCAGCGGCGGCGGCGGCAAGCGCACAGTGGGCCACTGAGGTGAGCGGCGCGCGGCTAGTGCGGGCGGCGGGAGCCGGGAGTCCCGGGGGTGCCGGGGGCGACAGGGGCGGAGCCGAGGGCCCGGTGCAGGTGCGCCTGCAAGGGTAGGGCCTCAGGACCCCGCTCTCGCCTCGTCCCCCTCTGTGCTCTCTCCTCTCCCCAATCCCTGTCCCCACTCCCTGTCCCCACTCCCTGTCCCCACTCCCTCTCCCCACTCCACTGTCCCCACTCCCTGTCCCCACTCCACTGTCCCCACTCCCTGTCCCCACTCCACTGTCCCCACTCCCTGTCCCCACTCCACTGTCCCCACTCCCTGTCCGCACTCCACTGTCCCCACTCCTCACCTCTGGTTGGGCCGGGGACAGCGGGTCCTTCGCCTGGGGCGCCGCAGCCGTGCTTTGTGCAGGGCGGGCGGCCGGGGGGCTCGCACTTGTGGCCCCAGCCCCGGGGTCCCGGTGCCCGCCGTGGGGGTCCCTGGGCTGGGGCGCGGGCGCGCGGAGGAAGGGGCCTGAGCCGGCGCCTGGTGGGGAAGTCGGGGCTGCGGGGACTCTTGCCACCCTGGTGGCTCGCGCGGGTCCGCTCTCAGGAAGGGGGCATGTGGGCCCGGTTTCCCCTCGGGGATGGTCTGGGCCGCCCTGGTCTCGTCTGGGCCACGGAGGAGTTGGGCTGTGGAGCCTCCTTCCAGGCGGGCCTGCATGTGCGGGGCTTGCAGCCCGGGGAGCTCGGGGGGCTCTGCTTGCACCAGGCCAAGGTTCTTGTTGAATGAAAGCTCAGAAACTGTAGCTGCAGAAGTTCCACCTTTTGGGTGTTAAACGCGCTTGGCTGTTCCCCTCGTGGCTGGAGGGCCGGCCTGGCGTGAGACCATCGTAAGTGCAGGTTTTAGGGGTGCAAAGTTCTTTGCTACGGCTTGTCTTCAGCCTTGCAAAGCTGGGCAGACCCAGGTTCCAACCTCAGTTCTGTAACTTTTGAAGCTTCAGTTTCATCATTGCTAGAATCTGTGTAAAAAGACCTAATTCACCATCCTGTTAAGATTGAGCTTGCAAGTTTAGTGCTGGTCAATCTGCAGCCACGTTCCCATCATCTAGCAGTGGAAGACTTGAGGGATATCGATCCTGATCCTCACAACTTTGCAAGTGGATTTCACTCATGAGTTTCCAGATGAGGAAACTCAAGGTCAAGTCTAGGTGCTCGGAAATGTCAGATACCTGTCTTTCCAGTACCTAGTTGAAAACAGTAGTAGTACTTGTTAATGTCATTAGAAATAAACAATGAAAATTAGCACAGCTGTGGTGATCATCATCTTTACTGTCACTCTTGGGTGTCTCATTTCTGATTCCCAGAGGCCAGACTTTTTAAAAAAAAATTAATTATTTTTTTTGAGATGGAATCTTGCTCTGTCACCCAGGCTGGAGTTAAGGGCGCAATCTCAGCTCACTGCAACCTCTGCCTCCTGGGTTCAAGTGATTCTCCTGTCTTAGCCTCCTGAGTAGCTGTGATTACAGGTGTGTGCTACCATATCCAGCTAGATTTTGTATTTTTAGTAGAGACTCGGTTTTACCATGTTGGCCAGGCTGGTCTCGAATTCCTGACCTCAGGTGATCTGCCTGTCTTGGCCTTGCAAAGTGCTGGGATTACAAGTGTGAACCACCATGCCTGGCCTTTATTTTTATTAATTTATTTTGAGGCACAGTCTCACTCTGTTACCGAGGCTGGAGTGCAGTGGTGTGATCTCAGGTCACTGCAACCTCCACCTCCCAGGTTCAAGCAATTCTTGTGTCACAGCCTCCTGAGTAGCTGGAATTACAGGCACATACCACCTCACCCAGCTAGTTTATGCATTTTTCTTAGAAATGGGGTTTCACCATGTTGGCCAATCTGGTCTTGGACTCCTGACCTCAAGTGATCTGCGTGTCTCCGCCTCCCAAAGTGCTGGGATCACAGGTGTAAGCCACCATGCCTGGGCAAGACACCAGGCTTTTGTGAGTGCTCCTGATAGTTAATTTCAGGTGTCAACTGACTGGATTCAAGAACTCCTAGAAACTTGGGAAAGCATTGTTTTTGTTTTTGGGTGTGCCTGTGAGGGTGTTTCCATAGGAGATGAGCTTAGGAGTCTGAGTGGATCAGGTGGAGAAGATCCACCCTCAGTGTTGGGGGCATCATTCAAGAGCCTGAGGTCTTGGAGAGGACAGAGAAAAAGCAAATGTGTCCATCTGCTTGCTGGAGCTGGGATGCAGTTTTCCTCTCCTCTCCTTGACAGCAGCACTCCAGGCTTGCTGGCCTTTGGTCTCCAGGACTTGTCCTGGCAGTCCCTCAGACTGAGAATTACACCATCAGCTCCACTGGCTCTTCAGACTTGGACTGTGCCATGCTGCCAGGCTCCTAGGGTTCTGGTTTGCAGACCGCCTGTTGTGGGACAGTCTCCCTAATTGTGTGAGTCAGTTTCCCTAATAAAGCCTCTCTCGTGTGTCTGTCTCTGTGTCCTGTTGGCTCTGTCTCTTTGGAGAATCTTCTTACAGTGCTTTGACGGGAACGTGCCACCTGAGTGCTGAGCACCGCCTCCCGGGCACCAGCTGTCCCTCTGTGCAGTTGACACTTAGTCGGTGGCTTGGTGGCAGAGGTCTGGTGGGATGCTTTCTTGCGTCCATTTTTTGTCTGCTAAGTTGGCAGCGCGGCTCCCAGTTGCCTCTGAAGAATGTGGTTACAGACACTGGTGTGTCATGGGCTCCAACGTGCGTTCGGGGAGTGGGGCTGCCCAGAGGGCCCCTGACTGCACAGCTGATGGCACGTGGCAAGACTGTATCTGACCAGTCTTTGTCCGCCTCCAGAAGGAAAGCAACCATGGAAGACCTAGGGGAAAACACCACGGTTTTATCCACCCTGAGGTCTTTGAACAACTTCATCTCTCAGCGTGTGGAGGGAGGATCTGGACTGGATATTCCCACCTCGGCCCCAGGTTCTCTGCAGATGCAGTACCAGCAGAGCATGCAGGTGAGTGGCATGTGCCTGGGTGGGAGTCTTCTCTGGGGAGACCCCTAGGCCCAGGCAGGACCCGTTCAAGTCTTTTGTAGTTGACGTGGGTCAGTATTAGCTCAGCCCAGAGACCAGTTACTCGTCTTCCAGGTCTCACTGTGGGCACTCCTCATTTTGGGGCAGTAGCTGGAGGCTGTTTGGGGCCCTGAGTCATCATGGCTTAAAGGCCTGTCTTGTTAGCACACTGAGTGGGCCTGGCGTTCAGCATTGCGTTCACACAAGTGCACCCGCAGACTCTGGTGACAGGATCGGAAAGCCAGTTCATTCGTCTGATTGAGGACAGAACCCAAACTGCCTGGGAGTGTGAGCACCAGGACTGCGTGGGAAAGCTGTGTTGAAAACAGTGCCCGGTGAGCTCAGAGAGAAAGCCACGGCAGTGAGCCAAAGGACCGGGTGTTTTGTGGTCTCAGACTGTGGAGGGCCATTTGCAGATTTCGGGGTGATTTTTATAGTTTTCTTCTATAAATAGTTGTATTTTACTTCATTACAAGTTCTTGGGATTGCTCACTGTAGACACGGCTGCAGAGGACTCAGGTATCCTGAAGGACTTCAGGTTCCAAAGAGTGATGGGCCCAGTCCCAGTTGGGAAGTGGTGGGGAATGGTGTCTCCAGCCTTGCCTGGGCCCTGCGGCTGCACAGGCTTCTGTAGGCTCCTCTGCCTGGGCCCTCTTTTGCAGTCCCTGCTGCAGGCATCAGAAGCATTCTGTAGTCCTGTCCCTGTTAGAGGAGGCTCTGGCTTCCTGCTGCTTTCGGAGCCCAGTCGAGGCCCTGCTGCATTTGGTGAAATTGTGGTGTGTGTATGTGCATTCGTCTTGCTGCATTATTGAATTAACGTGTTTATTAGAATCTTAGCTTGCTCACTGCCCTTTCTTGATGAGGACTGTTTTTTATTCTGAGATAAGGTCTTTTATATATATAGATATTTTATTGTTAAAATGCTCTTTTATGAAATTATGGTAATAGATGGTAGTTATTTTTTTATCACTGGCAAAATTAGAAGTTGCTAACTCTGAGCTGGGTGTAGTGGCTCATGCCTGTAATCCCAGTACTTTGGGAGGCTGAGGTGGGTGGATTACTTGAGGTCAGGAGTTTGAGACCAGCCTGGCCAACATGGTGAAACCCTATCTCTACTAAAAATACAAAAATTAGGTGGGCATGGATGCCTGTAATCCCAGCTACTCCGGAGGCTGAGGCAGGGGAATTGCTTGAACCTGGGAGGCAGAGGTTACAGTGAGCCGAGATCATGCCACTGCACTCCAGCCTGGGAAATAGAGAGAAAAACTCCCTCTTAAAAAAAAAAAAAGATTGGCAAGTCTGGTCTGAAATGCTGTAATTTCATTGACCTCTTGTCCTACCTGTCAAAGCTGTGGGATTCTAGAATCTCACTTGGACCTGGGAGGCCCCCAGAGCCCACACTGATAAGGGCCTCCTCGGCGACGGGATCAGTGGTGGAGTGCGGTAGTCAGAGCGAGGTGGTTAGCGCAGTGATGACCACGAGCCCAGCCTTGGTCCCTGGCCCCTGTCACATCCCATTCCTGGACTTCTGTCATGGTTCATTTTCTCCTGCTGAGGCCCTGGAGTGGCAGGGAGGGCCTGGAGAACACAGCAGGCTGGGGGAATGTGTGCTGTCTGCTTTTCACGTATCTGTGTTTATTTAAATGTAAGGGCGAGCTTTCAGTTCCTATCTCATTTGTAGTCAGCTCCAGGCAGACGTGACACATGGATCAGGTGTGTCTGGGACTCCTAGTCCCTGCTGGTGGTGCCCCCTGCAGGCAGGGTGCCCGCTCTTCTAGGGAGGCTCAGAAATGAGACCAGGAAGGCTACTGAGTTTGAAGGACAGTCTTGGGAACCCCCAAACAGCAGCAGTTGGGAATTGAAACACGGTAACACAGGTATAAAGAATGTGTGGGCCTGGGCCACCAGAGAACACAGGTGGGAAGACGGAGAAACTTCCCTTCGCCGTCCTGGGCTTTCCTGGCCTTGGCATGCTTGACATTTGGGCTGGGTGATTCTTTTTCCTTAGGACTTTCTTGTGCATTGTGGGCTGTTTAGCAACATCCCTGGCCTCCACCCGCTGATGCCAGCCAGCAGCACACACATACGACCACCACCTGTGATAATCAGAAGTGTCTCCACACAGTGCCAGATGTTCTAGGGGCAAAACTGGCCCCTTTGGGAACCACCACTCTACTCTGGTGCTTCTCAAACTTCCATGAGCTTGTGAATGCCCTGAGAATGTGTTTAAAAAGAAGATTCTTTTTTTAATTTTGGAGACAGGGTCTTACTCTGTCATCCAAGTTAGAGTGCAGTGGTGTAGTCTTGGCTTACTGCAGCCTCTGTCTCCTGGGTTCAACTGATTCTCTCACCTCAGCCTCCTGAGTAGCTGAGATTATAGGTGTAATCTCATGCACCACCATGCCTGGCTAATTTTTGTAGTTTTGAGTAGAGACAGGGTTTCACCATGTTGGCCAAGCTGGTCTCAAACTCCTGACCTCAAGTAATGTACCCACCTTGTCCCCCCAAAGTGCTGGGATTACAGGCATGAGCCACCGTGCCCAGCCTAGATTCTTTTTTTTTTTTTTTTGAGACAAAGTCTCACACTGTCACCCAGGCTGGAATACAGTGGTGTGATCTGGGCTCACTGCAGCCTCCACCTCCCGGGTTCAAGCGATTCTCCTGCCTCAGCCTCCTGGGTACATGGGACTGCAGGTGTGTGCCAACATACCCAGCTAATTTTTGTATTTTTAGTAGAGATGGGGTTTCCCCATGTCGGCCATGCTGATCTTGAACTCTTGGCCTCAAGCGATCCACCAGCCTTGACCTCCCAAAGTGCTGCTGGGATTACAAGCATGAGCCACCACGCCCGACCGAAAGAGAAGATTGTGATTCAGTAGGTCTGGGGTGTAGCCTGAGACTCTGCATTGAAGTGCTGGGACATGCTGTGCTGCTGCCCTGCAAAGCTCTGGGCCATATGAAGAGTCGGTGACTCTGCCTTTTCCTCCAGCTAAGCAGGTCGTACCCAAAGGCTGGCTCTGGAACTGTTTGGCAAGTCTCTGGGGCCCTTTGAGACTCAGCTCACCTGTAATCACTAGCCGTGTGTGGTAGGCCCACTTCTGAGAGGCCCCCAGACTCCAGGCTCCTGGTGCTCAGGCTCTGGTGCACACTCACTTTCTCTACCCTCTCTCAGGTGTTCAGTCAAATACTGACTAGGTATCGTTGCTGTGGGATTTTGCAGATATAATTAAGATCTCAGATCTATTGACCTTAAGGTAGAGATTACCTGGGTGGGCTTGCTCTACTCGTGTGAGCCCTTGAAGTCTGAGTCCAGGTGTCTGAGGCAGAGCAGTCAGAGACATGGCAGGAGAGGGTTTGACGAGGGAGATTGGTCGTGGTTGACTTTGGAGATGGAGAGTGCCACATGGCAAGGGATGTGGGTATCTTCTAGGAGGTGACAGCTGTATTGGGCTGGCAGCTGGCAGGGAAGGAGACCTCATTCTCCATCCCTGTGAGCTTGTGAAAGGATCCTGAGCTCCGCATGAGAACACGTCCTAGCTCACTGCATTGATGTTTAGCCTGGGAGACCCTGATCAGAGAACACAGGCACCTATCTCTGAACTTCTGACCCACAGAGCCATTGGCTGGTAAATAAACAGGTGGCATTCGAGGCCATTGAGTTCACTAATATGCTTTATGTCATCTCAAGAGATGTGTCTTCCTCCTCCCAGGCTTTTTCACCTTCCTGTCACCTGTCCCTCTCCCATTCCCCAGCCTGGGGTCGAGTTGCTGGGCGACATGAAGACTTAGCCTGGGCCCTGCAGGAACGGGTGCTCAGGGAGTGTGTCTGTTGCATGGAGTCACTCACCTTGTTTGGTACAGTCACTGAGATTCTTTGTTATTTGGGTGTGACCTGCGCAGTTGGAGGAAAGAGCAGAGCAGATCCGTTCCAAGTCCCACCTCATCCAGGTGGAGCGGGAGAAGATGCAGATGGAGCTGAGTCACAAGAGGGCTCGAGTGGAGCTGGAGAGAGCGGCCAGCACCAGTGCCAGGAACTATGAGGTGAGTTCAGGTGGGGTGAGCATTGGCCAAGCCAGCCCCACGAAGCAAGGGGACTGCACGGTAACTGCCAGGCTATAAGAAATCAGATCCCAGCCCCTGGGAGAAAGAGGGCTGTGCAGAGTACCTACCAGGCTGTAGGAAATCAGAACCCAGTCCCTGGGAGCAAGGGGGCTGTGCACGGTACCTGTCAGGCCATGAGAAATCTAGAACCCAGCTGGCTGGAAGCCTGAGACGCCCTGTGCCACAGTTGCCAGGACATTCCTTCTGAGGCCACTAATGCTGGGCGCCAGGTATAAGTTATGCTTGATGTCCTAGAGAAGGGTGGCATGAAATGGGGACAATTGTGAAGAGTGGCCCCTTGCTGTGTCTGCTCAGTGAGGCTGTGGGACTGGCACACAAACCTCCTGGTTTCCTCTTCCCTCTGGAAGAACTGGAAGGCAGGTCTGGCAGAAATGCCGAGTGGTTTAGGAGTGACAGGCTTAGGAGCTGACGGGGTGGAATGGGGTCTTGGGTCCATGCTAGGCCTTTGGGTTGGAGGGCTGTAGCAAAGAGTGCCGGCCTCAGTGGCAGCTGGGTGTTGCTCCTGGCTTGCCCAGGGCAGTAGGGGAAGCTCCTTGTCCTTGGGGAGGGAATTAGGTTTCCACCGAATGTACGGATCTCCTCTGCTTTGATTAACGGCACTTTGCCAGGGTTTCAGTAGGTGCTGATCAGCTGTGGATGCTGCCAAGGCTCAGGCAGAGCATTCGATGGAGAGTCTCCCTGGCCTCTGTGCCCTTTCTTGCTGGTGGATGTGTCTAGCCCCTCCCCCAGACAACCTGATGCAATATATTCACACACACTTCTAGGCCCTAGAAAAACAAATAGCTCACGTCTTCTGGGGTGTGATGGTTTTTGGATTCCTTGTCCCTGGCCTGCAGATCCTGGCTGCCGTGTGTTGTGTGGGCTTAGGGAGCCCAAGACACTGCCGGGGTGGGTGCCGCTGCCTCTGGGGCGGCTCCCGTGCTGCTTTGAGAGCTGTTTTCCCTGAGAGGTTGGGGCTTTTGCTCATGGCCTGGGTGGGTCCTAGGAGGGACAGTCCTGGTGGAATTGATGGGACGGGGAGGGAGAGGACACAGGAATCTCCCTGACTATTGAGGTTCCCTGGTTAGGGGTGGAGAGGTGGCACCAGTTTAGTGGCACCATTAGTCTGGAGGCAGCGTGCTCGTGGCACGGCTCTGGCTCTAGGGCAGGAGGATGGAACGTGCAGCCGTTTGAGTTTCTCTGGGCCAAGAGTCCCCAAGGACAGGGCCCACCTGACTGTCCAGGATTTCCATCATGTGGCACAGCTTATGGCACCTTATGGATGCTGACAAATGTTTGATTGAGGGAGGGGTCACTGTAGGGTCTCTGGAGCCCTTTCTTGGGGAAATCCAGGGATGCAGGTGACTGAGCTTACACCTGGGGCTCCCTGCTGAGCTCCAGCCACCTTCCAACAGGCCTTTCCTTCCTTGCCCACAGACACAGCTGCATGAGACCCCAAGAACAGTCCCAACCAGTAGTTCTCCAATTGTTCCTTGGAGTTCCACCTGGAAATACCTATTGGGGGTGAAACCTAAGTGTCTGAAGTCCAGGGACCTGCCGGCTGTCCTGTCTGCACTAGGACTGGCAGCACCAGGCCCAGTGCCACATCTGGCTTGTGACAGTGCTGAGCGGAGCCCTGCTACAACCCCAGCTGTCTTCTTGTTCTGCATCACAGAAGGGTCTCTTGGTTGTGGTGAGACGGCTCTTGCAGCTCACAAGGGCTGGAGTCCCTCCGAGGTGCGGGTCAGCCATCAGAAAGTGGCCACCCTCTGTCACACCTCTCCTAGGTTTTGGGCTGGAGTACCCTGGACAAGGGTAGCACAAGCACGTACTCTGCCCTGGGCTCCATGAGTGCTTGGCGCTTCCTGAGGAAGGCAGGGCGAGAGGGCCCAGAGTGCCGGCTCCACCAGGACTCACCGTCTTCACCTCCCGGGACTCCCGTACCTGGCAGTGAACTCAGCAGGGCCTGCGGGTCATTAGAATCAGGATTTCTGAGCATGGTTCTTGGTTCTGTCCCATCCTAACCAGCGAGAGCCACGTGGCCTCCCCAAGGCCAGTCCTGCGGAGTGGCTCTGGAGGTTCACGTGAGATGCTGTGGATATGTGGCAGAGTTGAGCCCAGTGTAAACTCCTTCTGTCTGCAGCCTCCTGTCCACGCCACCTGTCTCTGCCCCTGTCATCTGCTCGCTGGGGGAGTGCCAGCTCATTTTAGTGCCGGCCATCATGTGCTTAGTCAGGACCTGCTGGTGCTGCAGAGCTCAGCTTCTCTACAAGGTCCATTCTGAATTTCACATTTCCCGTGCTCCCTTTCCCTGCAGAGGCAACCGCTGAGCAGATGGTGTGACAAGTGTGTGTGTGATCTGTGTCAAGTGCCCTTCCTGGGAGCCCTGACCTCTCACAGTGCTCACGTCACGGTGTCTCAGTGGGGGCGCCAATGCTGGAGCTGGGTCCCAGGTCCCGTCCTGGCTCTGCCACTGACTTGGCTGGCGGGTCCTGCTTGGCTCTTTTCTGCACCTTGGTGGCCCATTCTGAGAGAGGTGTGGGGGTGAGGGCTCCCCGCTGACCTTCCCATGGGTGGCATGTGGCATCTTCCTCTTGTTCTCTTGACAGCGCGAGGTTGACCGCAACCAGGAGCTCCTGACCCGCATCCGGCAGCTTCAGGAGCGTGAGGCCGGGGCGGAGGAGAAGATGCAGGAGCAGCTGGAGCGCAGCAGGCAGTGTCAGCAGAGCCTGGATGCTACCAGCAAGAGGCTGCGTGAGAAAGAGGACAGCCTGGCCCAGGCCGGCGAGGTGAGTGGGGCCTCTGCTGGACTGGGTCGCCCCTTCTGAACCCGTGTTCCCGGGAGAGGAAATGCATGCTCTTGTTTGCCTCTGCAGCACCTCCTTTGTGTTTTTAGTTGTGTTTCCCACATGGGCAGGTGTGTTGTTTGCATAGCTGTAATCAGTAGAAGAATTAATTTTCCATTCTGTAGTTTTCAGTTAAAAAGTTGAGCGTTTGATCCAGGCATGGTGGCTCACGCCTGTAATGCCATCACTCTGGGAGGCCGTGGTGGGAGGATCACCCGGTCAGGAGTTCAAGACCAGGCTGACCAACATGGTAAAACCCATCTCTACAAAAAATACAAAAATTAGCCAGGCGTGATGGTGGGCACCTGTAATCCCAGCTACTCGGGAGGCTGAGGCAGGAGAATTGCTTGAACCCAGGAGGTGGAGGTTGCAGCGAGCCAAGATCATGCCATTACACTCCAGCCTGAGTGACAGCGGGAGATTCTCTCTCAAGAAAAAATGAGCACTTTTTTCTTCTGTAATTATGAATTTTAACGGTTGAGAATCTGCTTTTTGTCGTTTGTGAATGTTCAGTGTGTTTGCGTTCACTCGTCATATCTATGTGGCAGGTAGCCCATCGTCTAGCCCTCGCTTCTGCTGACTTTGGACAGACCCCTAGGTTTGGGTTATAAGGTCCCCAGCGATGACGGTCTCTGTGTCAGTTGCTCTTAGAGCCCTAGTTGAGGGCTCCAGTTTCCCTGCAGCCTTCCCTGTCGTGGATGGTGGTCTTTTCTGGAAATAGTTGTTGTATTTTCGGGAGGCTTAAATAGGCATGTGTGGATTTGCATTTCTTTGACTACTGGCAAGGTGTGCAGGCATCCGATGGCGTCGGGGAATTGCCTCAGAACTGGAGCCGGTGTGAACTGCAGTCCGTGTGAAGGTTGCGTTCGTTTTAGAAACAGTGGACATGGGTGCTGGTGGAAACTGGAATCTTCTGACCTCTCCTGTCCCTATTCTGTGGCAATCAAGATCGCTGGTGCCAAAAGGAAACATGAAAATCTGCTGGTGTGGGTGTGGAGGTGTGGGGGTCCGGGTGGGGTGGGCATGCAGCGCCTTGTGTGCGTTCTCCATCTGCAGCTCTTCTGGAGGGGTCCAGAAGCTGGTTGTGGTTATTTTTCTGGGCAAGCCTAGGGAGACGTGTTCAGGTTGTTCCCCCAGCTGCCTCTGGAGGGAATGTGGGCAGGAGAGGAGGCGTGATTGGCTTCTGAGAAGCCACTCTTACCTTGCCCTTGCTCTGGGTTCCAGGCTGTGTGCTGGGCTGTGCTGGAGGCAGGTTGGGGATTCCATGGGGAAGGGTGAGTTGTGCCCAGCACTCCACGAGGGGCAGAGGAGCAGGAGACTGTAGGAGGTACAGGGCGGTGCCCGGTGGGGCGGGGCGCAGTGAGAGGAAGCTTGTCGCATGCAGGTGCTGCTGCTGTGCCCTGTCACATCTAAGCCAAGGTGGCAGCTCCTCAGGAAAGCCTTCCCTGCTCACTGGGCCTTGGCCTCCTTCTCTGGTGACAGGGCCCTGACTGTCACCCTCCTTACTCTGGAATTATCTTATGTGCCTCTTCCTTGCCGAGTGTCCTGCGTCCCCTACAACACGGGTGCCCCTGCGGGCAGGTGGGCTCGGCTCTGCATCTGGCTCAGCCCTGGCACCTGCTGTGTATTAAGACCTCTGGGAGGATGTGTTTATTGTTAGTATGTTTTCAATACCTTTCTTCTTTTTTGACTCCCAAGTTGGCCCCTCACTATTGTGGTGAAGTAAACCGTACAGATTGTGGGTGTGCAGGGAGCCCACACAGCCCCACGCCGGCCTTCCCAGAGTGGCGTTGGGTGGACATCGGTGATGGGCTTCAGCGGCCCTGAGCTGGGCACGGGTTCTCTGGGACAGGGAGATGAGTGCTGTGGCCTCCTTGTTTGCGCGGGTGCGGCCCAGCCAGGTCCCCCAGGTTGTTTGCTGTGTGAGTTTGCCATTGTCCTGCCCTGGATGCGTGGTCCCCAGAGCTGACATCACCCCCATGTGTTTCCGTGTGTTCACTTACAGCAATGCTTCTCAGTGTCCATCTGGCTTGCACAGTGGCTTGACCCGAGGACACCTGGGGTTTTCTGAGCTTTTCCAGGGGGTTAGGGTCCTCAGAAGGTTACCTGTGGGGGATGATCAGGAGAAAGTGTGGCGATTTGGTAGCACTGCATTTGGGTTCCGTGATGTCAGGCAGAGCTGCACCTGCTGTCCTGGAAGCTGCTGGAGGGACTGCTGGGTTTGCTCAGGGACCGCCTCCCCAGGTGGCTCCTTCCCGTGCCAAGCACTCCCCTTCCAAGCACATGGTCTGCCAGCAGGTACTGCCCAGCCCTCTGCAGAGCCTCCATCTTTGTCCTTTTGGTTGGCCATTGTCTTGCTGTTGTTGTAGGTGATGTCATTAGCAAACAGCTGGCACAGTAGCATGAGGGTGGCTAGGGAGGGATGCCAAGAGCCACGTTTCGAGGGAAGGCCAAAGTGATGGTGTGGCAGGCACATGGATGGATGCCTGGTGGGACTTTGGGAGTGTGGGGCACTGGCACAGAGACTGCCAGGTGCCAGGCGTGAGAGTCCAGGCCCATCTTGGCTGGTGGGGGTTTTTGCTTCTGAAGCCTCCTCACCAAGCCTCCTTTCCAGGGGCCCTGGCTGGGGCCTGGGTGTTTTCCGTCAGCTCTTGGGTAGCCTGTGGCAGGCTCTGAGCTGTGCTGTTCTGGAGCACCTGGAGAAGGGTGGGCCCTGCATGTCAGCATCTGCCTGGGTATATGTCCTCCTGGAGGAGGTGGCTTTGCCCCCTGCTCCCCTGCTCCCCTGCTCCCCTGCCCACCCACCCCTCTGCCTCTCTGCCCTCTGCCCCCTGCCCCTCTGTCCTCCTGCCCCCCTGCCTCTTTTCCCCCTTGCCCCGTTGCCCCCTTCCCCCCGTGCCCCTCTATCCCTCTGCCTCTCTACTTCTCTGCCCCCTCCCTCCTGCCCCTCTACCCTTGTTTCCCTGCCCCCCTGCTGCCTCCCTGCCCCCCTGCCCCCTTGCCTCCCTTCCCCCCTACCCCCCTGCCCCCCCCACCTCCCTGCCCCTCTGCCTCCTGCCTTGCTCATGGTCGTGGCTCACTAAGTGGCTCTCTGGCCCCCTCTGCTTTCAGACCATCAACACACTGAAGGGGAGGATCTCGGAACTGCAGTGGAACGTGATGGATCAGGAGATGCGGGTGAAACGCCTGGAGTCGGAGAAGCAGGAGCTGCAGGAGCAGCTGGACCTGCAGCACAAGTTGGTGGGGGCCAGGGTGTGGGGTCAGGGCAGGAGCTGCAGGGGTCGGGTCACGGGTTGGGGTGTGGGGCCTGCCTCTCTCCTGGTGGCTGGGTAGGATGTGGATGCACTCCCGGATGCTGTCCTAATTCACAGTCAGTCAAGAGGGGCAGACACTGAGGCCCCTGGAGCCAGGACCATGAGCCCAGGAAGTGTCCTCATGTTCCTAGGGCAGAGCGGGTGCAGCAACTTCCTCGCACTCCTTCCTGGAGAGCGCTCCTGCAGATTTTACTTTACTTTTTGAGACAGGGTCTCACTCTGTCATGCAGTGTGGAGTGTAGTGGCGCGATCATGGCTCGCTACAGCCTCGACCTCCTGGGGTCAAGCGATCCTCCTGTCTCAGCCTCCAGAGTAGCTGGGACTGCAGGCATATGCACTACACCTGGCTAATTTTTTGAGATGGAGTCTCACTCTGTCACCCTGGCTCGAGTGCAGTGGCACCATCTCGGCTCACCACAACTTCTGTCTCCCAGGCTCAGTGATTCTCCTGACTCAACTTCCTCAGTAGCTGGGATTACAGGCACCTGCCACCATGCCTGGCTAATTTTGCAACTACCTGATTTTACAAAATGTTTCATAGAGATGGGGGTCTCACTTTGTCACCCAGGCTGATCTTGAGCTCCTGGCCTCAAGTGATTCTCCTGCCTCATCCTCCTAGAGTGCTGGGATTACAGGTGTGATCCACCGTGCCGTATTTAGGGCTAGATTTAAAGGGTAGCACCATGTGCCTTGGAGGTGCAGGGGATGTGGCTGGGAAGGGATGTCCAGGCACAGGGCTGGGCTCAGCCAAGGTACAGATGTGAGAGCCTTGTGTGGAGGTGTGGTCAGCACCAGGGGCATCTCCTACCCAGCATTTAGGAGATGCCCAGCACCATGGGCCTCTCCTAAAGAGTTTGACCCTTCCGTCAGCAGATGTGGTTTTAGGAGAGTTCTAGTTTCGTAGTAGAGAGGAGAGGTCATTTCTGGGTGGGTCTCTGTCACAGCTGCTCCAGGGCTGCGGGTTGCGGCCGGCAGGTGAAAGCTGCAGGTGCTGCTGCTGTCGAGGACCTTGCAGGCGGCTTGGGCTCGCTATGTACCCCATGCGGATGAGCAGACTGAGGCCTCAGAGCCAGCCAGCAGGGGCTGGGGCCCAAGACCTTGGGAGTGTGTGTGTGGGGGTCTGTGCAGGGGGGGGTCCTGAACCTTGGGGTGGGAGTGAGCGTGTGTGCTTCTGTGCTGGGGCGGATCTCAGGCTGAAGAGAATTGTTGGCCTTGCCACATGCCTGTTTCTGTATGTGATGTATTTATTATTATTATTATTATTATTATTTTTTAATAGAAAATGGCAGGAAGCCAGTCAGAAAATCCAGGAACTCCAGGCCAGCCAAGAAGCAAGAGCAGACCAAGAGCAGCAGATTAAGGTGAGTTGCTTGTGTCAGGTGCCTTGTGGATATCCCTGTGGTGGCCTTGGCTCTCCTGCCCCTGTCGGCCTTTCTGCGCTGGTGCTGAGCTCTGTGGGCCTCCTGTGAGGTTTGCTGCTGCCCTGTGTGGTGGGCATTTTGCTGGGCACCAGGGGTGCCATGGCAAATGAGGCAGATGCTGCTGCCCTCAGGGAGTGTGCATTCTAGAGGATAGAGACTAACCAGAGACACGAAGAGAAAATGTCCGAATATATGATGATGTCAAGTGCTGAAGAGTGTGAGAAGATGATACAGGCATAGAGGCGCTGAGAAATCAGCCCACAGTTGCACAGCTGGAGCTGGGTCTCAGTCGGGGCGACCTACTCAAGCTCATGCTGTGCCCTTTCCCTGTAGAGGGCGTGCCGGGGAGATGCTGACTCCGGATCCCTCTCCTACCTCCTGTTGCCTGGAAAGCAGCCTCCAGACCCTGTGCTTCGGCTGTGCCCCCTTGGCCCCACCATGTACCCTCACCTCCATGCCTCATACCAGCTCTTCCTGGCTGCAGAGCTGACTGTCATCCCCAACCTAGCCTCTGCCATGTCACCTCCTGGTGGTGTTCCCTGGCCCCTCGTCCTCCCGTCTGCATCCCTCGGCCCACCTGTCAGGATTTGCTGGCCGGTGAGGCCTGTTGTCTGTCTTTTGCATCACTGTCTCTGCCACTTGACCTGGTACATTGCACAGAGATGGACTACCTTTTGTGTTTGTTGCATGACTGTCTGGTTTGGTCGTGGTTTCATCCTCTGCCTGTTCAGTGACTTGCTGCTCACAGATGTCAGCTGTCTGTGTCACAAGGAGACTGGGTACCATAGGGAAAAGCCTGTCCTCACTATTGGAAAGACTAAGTTGTTACACACGTGCTACTAGAGAGGCAGAAGTGGGCTTGACACGGGAGGGTGGGATGTTTCACCATGGAGTGTCATCTTGGGCCAGACTTGAGATAGATTTTTGCTTCTAGATAGCTCCCTGAGGGCAAGACAGTGGTGTGCACAGCAGCCCAGCGGTGTGTGGTGTGAATGCCAGCTCCCAGTGTGTGGTGGCCTGGGAGGATGGTGTTGGAAAGAGCTGCCCTGGACTGAAGGCTGAGGCTCAGTATTGGAAGCAGCTTTGAGGGCCCTGGTGCAGCCCGGGAAGGCCTCTCAGAGGAGAGTCCTGAGCCATGGAGGCTGCTGAGGACCTGGGGCAGTTTAGTGGAGGAACTTCCTGGCCTCAGTGACTTTACTTTTTAGGGGATGCTTTTTTCTATAGCAGATTTAGGTTCACAGCAAAATGAGCAGAAGGTAGAGCTCCTGTGCATCCCTGCTCCCCGCCCCACAAAAAAAAAAAAAAAAAAAAACAACACACTGCCATTCCTGGTAGAGTGGAGCACATATGATGGTGATGTATCTGCCTGGACACATCAGTGTCAGGGAGAGTCCATGGGTCACTCGAGTGTCTCTCCTGGACTGGGACAGTGTGTGCTTTGGGCAAATGTAAAATGTTCGATATTCACTGTTAGAGCATCACACAGAAGAGTTTTACTGCCGAAAAATCCTTTGTGCTCCCCCAGTTAATCCCTGACTCTCTCCTTCTGAGCCACTGACAATTCCCAAACTTTTGCTGTCTCTATAGCTCCCCATTTCCCAGAATGTCCTGTGGTTGGATACTGCAGTTCGTGTAGCCATTGCAGACTGGCTTCTTTCTCTTAGCCGTGTGCGTGTGATTTTCTCCAGGTCTCTTCATGGTTCATTTTTCCCTTCTTCTCTGTCCCTGGCCTCCATCAGGATCTGGAGCAGAAGCTGTCCCTACAAGAGCAGGATGCTGCGATTGTGAAGAACATGAAGTCTGAGCTGGTGCGACTCCCTAGGCTGGAACGGGAGCTGAAGCAGCTGCGGGAGGAGAGCACACGCCTGCGGTGAGGGGGCATGGGGGATGGAGTAGCCTGTAGTGAGTCTGGGTTTGTGCGCAGGAGCCCGAGGTGCAGACCCCGTAGGGGCAGGGCTCCTGGGCTCTTGGTTTCATCCCCAGGGTGTGTGACTATTTGAGCAACTCTTTGTGGCACTGCCAGGGAGATGAGAGAGACCAATGGGCTGCTCCAGGAGGAGCTGGAAGGGCTGCAGAGGAAGCTGGGGCGCCAGGAGAAGATGCAGGAGACGCTGGTTGGCTTGGAGCTAGAGAACGAGGTGAGGGTCTACACGGAGTGGGTCGTACCCTCGCGTGATGGGGTGGGAGGCAGAATCATGGTCCCCAGAGAGGTCCATGCCTTATCCCCAGAGCCTGTGAACACGGCAGCTTCCCTGGCAGGGCGATTGAGGTCACAGGTCAGCTGGCCTACAGCGGGGAGGGGCTCCTAGGCCGTCCTGGGGGCTCAGAGTGACATCGGAGGGACTTGGTAGCTCCTGCTGGGTGTGGAGATGGAGGAGGGGCCACAAGCCAAGGAACGTGGGTGCCTCTGGAAGCTGGAAAGAGCAGGGAAGTGGACTTTCCCCTGGAACCTGCAGAAGGAACTCAGCCCTGCTGACATCTGGATTCCAGCCCAGGGTGACCCATTTTGGATTTCTGAACCAGAGTACTATAAGATATTCCATTTGTAGGCCTTTTTTCCCCCCCCCAAGATGGAGTCTTGCTCTTTTGCCAGGCTGGAGTACAGTGGCGTGATCTTGGCTCACTGCAACCTCTGCCTCCCGGGTTCAAGCGATTCTCCTGCCTCAGCCTCCTGAGTAGCTGGGACTACAGGCATGTGCCACCATACCCAGCTAATTTTTGTATTTTTAGTAGAGACAGGGTTTCACCATGTTGGCCAGGGTGGTCTCAATCTCTTGACCTCTTGATCCACTTGCAGCCTCTCAAAGTGCTGGGATTACAGGCGTGAACCACTGCCCCCAGCCTGCTTGCTGGGATTCATACTTGAGTTTATGGGGCCAGGAAGGAGTGAGGCATGAAGTGCACAGTGTGAGGCATGAGGCTTACAGTGTGACTTCTGCAGTTGAGGAATAATAACCCGGCCCCTTCCAAGCAGACTTGGAGCATTTAGTGCCTAGCTCAGAGGTAAGGGTAGGCTCTCCTGAGAGGTCAGGGACTCAGCGCTGTGGTCATTATTGTTAGTCTTATGTGATAATCCTGTGGCAGGCGATGACAGGGTCCGTGCTTTTGTTGTCTTTTCAGAGGCTGCTGGCCAAGCTGCAAAGCTGGGAGAGACTGGACCAGACCACGGGCTTGAATGTCAGGTAGGGAGGGGCAGGTGCCTCTGGGGTCCCACCTTCTCCGAAGGGTCGCTGGGGAAGAGCAGAGTCTGCCTCCTGCTCACGGGCACTGTCTGTAAAAGGCCGGTGGGGGCCTTTTGTCCCCGGCTGCTCAGGTTTAATGAGGCCCTTCTCAGTGGGTAGGGCAGTGGAACTGAGCGACTCTTCTTGCTGAAGCTTTAGTAACATATTCATTGAGTACAGAATATCCACAGCAAACCAGTGGCAGGTGTCCGACTGCCCCGCATTGTGGAGCTTTGTGAAAGGACTCTTTTTGGTGTATCCTGAGGAAGAAATTACTTTTGGGGACAATCATTCATTTTAGGGAACTGTAACCAGTGGAGATCAGCTGAGTTTTTAGAGTTCAGATAAACCCACCATATTAGGCTGTTCTTGTATTGCTGTAAAGAAATACCTGAGAGTGGGTGATTATGAAGAAAAGCTGTGGAATTGGATCACACTTCTGTAGGCTGTACAGGAAGCGTGGTGCTGACATTGTTCAGCTTCTGGTGAAGCCGCAGGGAACTTTCAGTCATGGCAGAAGGTGAAGGGGAAACAGGCATGTCACATGGCAAAAGCAGGAATGAGAGAGAGAGAGAGAGAGAGAGAGAGAGAGAGAAAGAGAAAGACAGAGAGCAAGAGAGTGCACAAGGGCAGTGCTGGGAGGGAGGTGCCACGCACCTCTTAATGATCAGATCTCGTGAGAACTTACTATCGTGAAGACAGCCCCAAGCTGTGAGGGATCTTCCCCCCACGATCCAAACACTTCCCACCAGACTCCACTTCTAGCCCTGGGGATTACAGTTCAACATGGGCAGGGATGGAGATCCAAACAGTTCTCACCCACCGTCGTGGAAGGCTATTGTCTGGTGCTTGTAGCAGCCTCTTCACAGTCTGTGCCAAGCTGAGTGCCAGCGCATGGGTGGAGGGATGTGCGGTGGAGCTGCCGGGGGACCACCCCAGGTGCTGGGGTTGGCATTCTTACAGACAGGAGAGCAGGACTATTCCCAGGTCTGGTCCTGTCTGTCCTCCTACCCCATCCACCTCAAGGGCCTGTGCTCATCTTTCTCCAGCAGCTGCTCCGTTGGCTCCTGCCCTTCAGCCGCTGGGCCCCTACAGGTGACCGCCTCCTGGCAGCTCTGGTCTGGGCCCCACTTTGTGGCTGCCCTAGTGCTCCAGGTCTCGGGAAGGTGCAAGAGTGATGCTTTTGAGGGAGCCATCGGAGCCTGGGACTCATGGTCTTGGTGCTGGTGCTGAGGCTGCCTCTTGTGTTTGCTTGTGAGATTTCAAGTCTTCCTGCTTCCTGTCTGTCTTTCCTGCTGCTCTGGAAACTAGGCCGAGACTGAGATGAGACTCTCTGAAAGAGCTGTCCTGTGACCACACCATCCAACTGCTGGTTCTGGAATCCACTACCTTCTCATCAGCATTACTGGCTTCAGTTCTTAGTAACCTGAAAATGCCCCTTCATCTTCTTTGAGCTTTGCTAAATCAGAGTGTGGCCTGGGCTGCCATCTCCTCTTGAACTCCCCCTGTAGAACATGGACTTCTGTAGGGCCGGCCTCAGCGGGGCCTAAATGCTTTGTGCTTCTGTCTGTTCACTGGGCTTATTAATTGCTTGTAAGGTGACCCTTCTGCTTCCAGGGATACTCTGGCCAGATGAGAAACCTCTGTGACTTTTTTCCTGTGAGGGACATCAGAGGCCCCCTCGTGCCTGGTGGGCCTGGCCTTGTTAGACAGTCCAAGTGTGCAGTTTGCTCTGGAGCAGTCAGCGTTAGTCAGGCACACAGACCTGGTACAGTTGACTGCTGTCTCTAGCTGGTTACAAAGTACTGCTGCTCCATCAGCCTTTGCCCTGTTCCCGCATCTGAGTGCCTTGCCTGGGTGTGGCCTATGTGAGGGCAAGCTGGCCTGGGGTGCTGCTGGCTGGTGTGAGGGTGAGCTGGCCTGGGGGTGCTGCCTGGGTGTGGCCAGCATGAAGACAAGCTGGCCTGGGTGCTGCAGGCCGGTGTGAGGACAAGCTGGCCTGGGGTGCTGCCTACCTGGTGTTCCCTGTTTACTCTGCCCATCCTGGTGGCCAGGCTCTGCATGGGGGAGAGGAGGGGTCGGTCTGCAGGGCTGGTAGAGGTGGGCTGCCTGTGTCCACTGCCAGCTTGAAGTGGAGTGGGAGGCAAGTGGCATGCATATGTGGCGCCCTGCAGCTTTGATGAGGAAAATAGATAGTGCTTTGGGGGCTGGGGGGTCTGGATTCAAGTCCCCTTCCCACCAACAGTAAGACTGGTTTCAAGTCACTGCGTGGCTCTGGGCCAGTGTTCTCTTCATTGAAAGGGGAACATGGAGTTCTCTTCCCCGCTGCGTGTGAAGATCAGGTGCCATCGTGTACTTGTGGAGGGCCCTGTGAGTCGGAGAGGGCTGGTGCGAGTGACCTCTTTGAGCAGCCAGAGGCTGATGTCCAGGAAGGGATGGAGCCATCCTCGCTGTGGGGGTTGACCCGTAGTTTCCTGGGTTGACCTGTAGTTTCCTGCGTTGGCCTTGGCCGTGGGTCTAGTAGAGGGCAGGTTTCCTCACGTGCTCGGTCACCTGCCGGGCCTGGGCCCCTTCAGGGCTCCCCACCACTCCTATTGTTTCCTGTGCACCACAGGATAGGTGTCTGAATGTGTTTCTGATTCATGCTTGATGTTAGTGGGGGTAGCACCCATGTCACAGTCCCTGGGAATGCAGGCTGGGGGTCCTGAATGCGGCTCATAGAGGGTTTGGTAAACATGTGCATTTCTGGCTGGGCACAGTGGCTCACGCCTGTAATCCCAATGCTTTGGTAGGCTGCAGCAGGGGGATCACTCTAGCCTACATGTTTGAGATCCACCTGGGCAATATAGCCTGTCTGTACCAAAAAAGAAAGAAAAAAAATAGCTGTGCTCAGTGGTGCACACCTATAGTCCCAGCTACCTGGGAGACGGAGGTGGGAGGATCACCTGAGCCCAGGAGGTCAAGGCTTCAGTGAGCCGTGATCACACTACTGTACTCCAGTGACAGAATGAGACCCTGTCTCTCAAAAAGCAAACAAAAAACAAAGTGCATTATTTCTGGGTAAACCACAGATACACTAGGCTTTCTATATTTAGGGACCAGATTTGGGGCAATTCTTAGGGATTTCTGAAGCTCATGTCAGGCCACATTGAATGTGGCGATGAAGTGGGCAATGGGGACACAGATGCAGTGAGAAGCTGGGGCCTCGGGGTCATAGCTGCTGCTTGTGGTCCCGTGGGAGGGGTGAGCACACTTGCTGTTCATATGTGGAGACATGTGTGCTTTGTGGGTGAGCTTGGGGATCCCCTCTGCTCAGCCATGGGGGACCTGAGGTGATATCACACATCCTGGAAGCAGAGGGCTCAGCAGCTGGGAGTGCCCTGGGCCTGTGCCAGTGGGCTGGCATCTGCTTACCTTCAGGCCCAGGCCTTGCTGGGATTTGGGGCTTGCTGAGGCCCCAGGCCCCGTGGGTGCAGAGCAGCTGCTGCCACTAGGTGGTGCCCCTGCCTTGGTGATCCTTCCCACAGCCATTTCCCTTGGGTCTCTTTCGCCTTGTGATCCCACCACCCTCCCACCATGGGACTTGCTTGCTGACACCAGGGTTGTAGTTGATGGGACTTGCTTGCTGACACCAGAGTTGTAGTTGATGGGGTTGTGAGGGACCTGCGGCCACTATTCCTGCCTGCCTTTAGTGGGGTGCTTCTGGCTATCCCATGCCTTGCCCAGTTTCTGACCAGCACCCTGGGAACCCTCAGGCCCCAGGGCAGTGAGCCCCTGGTGTTGAGGCCAGGTGTCCTCTGTATGGGCCCTTCCCTAAGGACAGGACTCTGGTGTCCTGCAGTCCTCAGAGGGCTCTTTGGCCTCACCCTGGACTTGGATGTACCCTGGCTGAGCCCCAGGAGAGAGTGGCCTGCTCACCCTCTTCCCCATGTGGGGCTTACGTCTTAGGAGAGGATGCTGGGCGAGTTGGCTGGGGTGAGTCAGTGAAACCACAGGAAGACCCTGTGGAACGAGGTCCTTATGTGTCACACAGGCCTGGGCACATGTGACATGTCTAGCACACAGGGTCATGCAGGTTGGGTCATATTAGTTTCTACAACTTTGAAGTCACAGGCAGGAAGGGGACACAGTGCGTGTGGATGAGCCTGCTTGAACACACGTGGGGAAGGGCAGGATGCCAGTGCCAAGTGTGATGTTGATACGCTTTCCCTTAGGGTGTTGGGCGTTGGGCTGAGGGAGTTAGCAGCAGTCTGGCAGGCAGTGATATGATGAGCTTGGTCTCCTAGGAGCATGGTCTGTCTTGAAGGATGACTTAATGGTTGTGGAAAGTGGATGCCAGGACACACCCTTTGAGGTACATGTCAACCTAGGCAAGACGTCAGGGGCACAGGAGGAGGAGGTGTAATCGAGAGAGACCAGTGGGAAAGATGTGTGAGAGTGGAGGCCATCTGGGAATGCAGGGTGCTTCTCTTTGGAAAATCACCTGTTTCAGCAGAATGAAAAAGGGGTGCAGGCCATCTCTGTAGGCAAGCAGCACGACCGTTGCTAGCAATCCCAAACGCATTTGTGGTTGAAATTTCTCAGCAAGCTAGGAAGAGAAGAGAAATTCCTCAGCCAGGTAACAGACACCTGCGGAAAACCACAGCTGATATAATATAAGGGTGAAACTGACTGCGTCCCTGACACAGAGACCAGGCAGGGTGTCTGTTCCCACCACCCCTGGTCGCACTGTGCTGGAGATCTTCACCAGTGTGATTAGGCAAGCAAAAAGAAAAGGTAGATAGACTGGAAAGGAGGAAGTAAAACTGTATCTGGAGACAACGTAATTATCTGTAGAAGTTTCCAGGATATCAATGACAAGCCAGTAGGACTAAACAGTGAGGTTTACAGGGTCACAGCATGCAAGGACGTTGTACCAAAATAGGTTACGTTTCCGTATGTTAGCAGTGAGCCACTGGAGT